TATTGTTATTGTTTGAAAACATAGATAGTAGTATTAGGAAATAAATATATTGTTTGGAAACATGAATAAAAGTATACATAAATGAATATTCTAATTTAATGTAGGTTTAACTATAAAGCAGAAATATGTATTTAATTTAAAAACTTACAAAATAAATGTTAGGTCCAATCCAATGTTTCTGATTTAATAAGATAGACTAGATTCTGACCCGCCCTTTGAAAGGTCGGGTATATCTTTTGTTTTATTTTTATTTTTTGAAATTGAATTTTTTTTATATTTATGTTTTTTTTTGTAATCACATTTTTGTTTTATATTAATTTAATTAAGGGTTGATATATTTTTGGTTTTAATTTTTTGAGAAATTTAATTTTTTATATTTGTGTGTTTTAATCATAATTTTTGGTAAATTGTTTAAATATGTCAAAATTACATAACTATATACTTGTATCATACGCATTTCAGAAATTATTTTAAACTTTATTCCTAAAGTTTCCAACATATTATATTTTTTTTTTAGTAATTATAATATTTCTACCCAAAAAATCTAATTTGGAAGCGATCCGAAAATTAAAGTCTCATATTCTATTAGACCTAGTCTAATATACTCGAACGGTTCTTAAGATGTTATATCCAAAAATCAATATCAAATCTAACCCGCACCGAGAACGGAACAAATTTCTTAAAAATGTTAATATATATATATATATATTCTGTTAAATATATAGCTATGTAAATGGGTTAATACGCTTTTCACCAACATCACATTTAACCATGAGTCTTTATGATTTCAAATTAGCTTTGATATTTATAAAATTGTGACAAACATGAAAAAGTGTGATTTCTTAAATTAAGTCGCAACTATTATATTTATGAGAGGGATCATTGTTGTATGTATAACTAGAGAGACATGTATGATTGCACACTAACATGTTTGAAAATGAACGGTTTTGCTTGGCAGATAACAGAGTACCCAAGGGTTAATCATCGGTCAGCAGCTGCATCAGCAGCATTGGTAGAGTTAACAACTCGACTTGATTTCTTCAAGGAAAGACGGTCGCAGCTAATAGAGCAGCTGCAGAACCTGGATCTCAACTACGGAGGCACGTCTGCTTCTTCTCAAGATTTCATACACCGGCCATCTTCTCCACCATGGAACTAAACAGTATGAGAAAGAAAATAAAAGTCTTGAGTTTGCTCTGTGTATCCTTTCTTCTCAGAAGACAAGAATGACTTCATTCTTTTGTGTAAATGTGTGTATATAAGATACCACTTTTTTACTTTTGTAATAAACATAATTTGATGTGAGATTGATTTTGTTCATAAAGTGTTAACAACTTAATATACATGTTAATCTCTTTATGTTGTGAGCAGGCAATTAAGTGAAGTCCCTTAAGTATTCAAATATTGTAATTTTTTTTTATAAATTAAGGGCCTCGTTAATGTGAGACCAGCCTCCATAGTGGTCAATCTACATATACATGTGGAAATGTTTATCATTATTATAAAGTTAGTTTGCGAGATGGTATACATACAACTTACCGAGTTAGCAAGTTGCATAATACGTGAACTAGATTTTGAACCCGCACATCCGTGCGGGTATTTTTCCATTTTATAAAAATATAACAAAACATTTCAAATATATATAATTTATATTTTATTGTTATATATTGTATATTTGTATAATCTTATAATTTTAATTATTTTTATATAAGATATTGTTGTAAGTTTTAAAATAAAAAAAATATTCATAAATAATTTTTATATAATGTATTTGTTGTGAGTTACAAAAATATATGTTAACATTTTTGTATAAAAATATATATAATTTAAAAACTTTAATATGTTTTAAAAAGGAGTGATATTTATTTATTTATTTGAACAAAATATTTTTTTTAAAAATAAAATATTTTTCTTTACCAATTTAATATATTTTATATTCATTTCAAATAGAATTTTATTTTAATATAATACAGAATATAACTAAATTATAAAATATAACAATTTTTATTTTTAATTAACATTAATATAAATATTTATATATATTAATCACGAAATTAAATAATGCATATATTATAAAAATATCTAAACTTCTTAGTAAGATCTTGTTAGATATTTTCTCAACAAATTTATTCCTAATATCTTATTATTATTAAAATATTCATCCAATTATATATATTTGACTAATTAACATAAATACTTAAATATGTCATATTAATGAGATAGTCCAACATGACTTTTTGTAGTAGATATAAATGGTACTTCTCTTTTAATAGAGAAGATGAACAGATCGAGTGAAACGCTGCCCCTCACTCTCTCGCAACGGAGCTTGAACCTGTGACCTCAGATCCCTACAATTGTATATCATCAAAAGTGAAAATGTACAAAGAGAAAAGAGCTCTTACCAAATGACCAGTAAGGCATAGGTGCAGGTCTTCCAATAAACTATGTATACTGATTCATCGACATCTCCAGTGAAGGTCCAATGAACACGTAAAGATCGAGGATACCACCAATCACATTATAAGTGATCCTACTTCCATCATACCTCACGTCCATTCCATTACTGTTCAGAAACAGAACACCGTGAGTAATCCCTGCTTCATCGTGACTGTTAGATCCTCTCACATCCATGTAAAATGGGTGCGATTGATAGAGGCTAACATCTGGATTCTCGCTGCCAATGTCAGTGTTCCACAGAGTCATCGCATCGCCCGGGATCAGCTTGAACGATCGCTTCGTATGCTCCCGGAGACCGTACAGATTCTGTCAGGATTCCAGTAAGGCAGAAATTAGTTGAAGGAATTGGTCTTTGAAGTCAAAGTAAGTGTTTGGATCTGATGGATCTGGACGCGTCGAAGAGGATGTCGCCAGTAGAGCGTCTAGAGACGGAGAAACCAAAAAGCGTCGTGTTGTGGAGTGTGAATAGTAAGTCGGATCTGTGTTTTGGTCCGACCAAGAAAACGGGATCACCTATCATTCGGTTTCTTCAATTGAGGCGGAGAAAACATGGGAGATACTACAACTGAAAGAGATAGATTTTGGGGTAAAAGCTGTCCTACGTGGACTTATCTAGCTGACATCCTATGTGGCACTCTAAAATATGAGTGATGCTTTACTTTATATAATAGATACTGTGGTATAGGTTTAACTAGAAATAATTATGCAAATTTCTACAATAATATTTTGTTTTTACATTTTGACATCGATTTAAATTGGTTGGTTGTGTATACAGATGCAAATTTTATGATTTGTTAATGATTCACTATTTGCGTATATTGATGTTCGTGCAAGTCTTGATAATAAACTATTTAAATCTGATATGTAGTTTTCGGTTAGAATAGTAGTAGTTAATTTTTGAAAGGGTTTTTAGTAATAAAACCCCTCAACTAAAGATGAATCGTAAAAAAAACCCTCAACTAAAGATTTAGTGAAATAAACCCTCAACTTTAGTTCCGTTAATGTTTATCACCCTCCGTCACGGAATTTTAGACGGAGGGTGACATATGTTAACAGAACTAAAGTTGAGGGTTTATTTCATTAAATTTTTAGTTGAGGGTTTTTGTTACGATCCATCTTTAGTTGAGGGGTTTTATTACTAAATGCGGTTAAATATTTTAAAATCTTTATTATCATTTATTCATTATTTAAGAATCTTAAAATTGATTTATAAACATTGAAAATAATTTATATTACTTTATCAATTTTATAACCTATTTATAAAGTTTTCTCATTTAATACTTTTTATAAATTACTATTGAAGTTTAATGATGATTTTATAAGATTAAAGATGTGATTATTCGTCATACTACAAAAACATGAAATAAATAAATAAAACAAGAAAAGCTTATTGATTAATATGGTAGGAGTATAACATACTGGTTCAGAAATTAAAAATAAGAAATATAATCATACATTATTTCTTTCTAAACAGAAAAAGTACAAATCAAACTGAAATTGTTTAAAGAGAAGAAAAACCCTTGCCATATTTTAAGTAAAAATGTTGAATTTTTAAACTAATTAAATATCCTCAACACTACCTACAACTTTATATCACTTAGAAATCTTAATTATTTGATATTTGACAATGTTAATATAAGAATGTTGTATGTGTTTCCTCCTTTATAAAGCTTTATCGCTTTACTTCGTAATATCAAGAAAAAATCATGTATTATTCTATCCTAAGAAATAGCAGAGAAAAGTTTATAAAATCATCGTTACACCTTATTAATAGTTTATAAAAATATAAAAATATTTAATAAGCTTTATAAATAGGTTAAAATTTTGATAAAGTAATATATAAAAAATTATAAATTATTTTCAATGTTTATAAATCAATTGTAAGATTCTTAAATAATAAATAAATGATAACAAAGATTTTAAAATATTTAACCGCATTTAGTAATAAAACCCCTCTACTAAAGATAGATTGTAACAAAAACCCTCAACTAAAGATTTAGTGAAATAAACCCTCAACTTTAGTTCTGTTAACATATGTCACCCTCCGTCTAAAATTCCGTGACGGAGGGTGACAAACATTAACGGAACTAAAGTTGAGGGTTTATTTCACTAAATCTTTAGTTGAGGGTTTTTTTTACGATCCATCTTTAGTTGAGGGGTTTTATTACTAAAAACCCTTTTTGAAATAAAAGTAGTTAAAAGTCCACCCATCTCTCGATTAAAATGATAACAAACGGTTGCATATTATATCCTGCGTCCAAAACAATATAAATTATATAACTGTCCAATAACTAAACCTTTGTACAAATGATGACAAAATAAATAATATAAACAGTTGGACATACCAACTTTTATCAATAGGTCATGACTCATGATCCTCTTTTAATAGAATAGTTGGATGGTTGGATGAACCATTAGCTTTGTTTCTCTCCTGACATTAAGATATTTATTCATATATATTAATGCTTGTTTTCGTCTCTTTAAGCTATTTGGTTGTCTTTTTAATCGAAATTAACGTTTGTGTTCTTTTGTTTGTTGTAGTCATGGCAGGATCAGCACCAGAAGGTACACAGTTTGATACGCATCAGTTTGATCAGAAGCTCAATGAAGTGTAAGTCTGTGACATCTTTACTTTTAATAGTTGTCTCCTTCTGTTTTTTTTTTTTTTTTGTATTTTGCTAATTGTTATTTCTGTTTGGGTGCAGCCTGGAGGGACAGCATGAGTTGTTCACCTCGTATGATGAGGTCCATGAGAGCTTTGATGACATGGGTTTGCAAGAGAACCTTCTTAGGGGTATCTATGCTTATGGTAAGTCAAGAAGATGAATCATCACAGTAACATCTTTTTTTGTCTTTCTTGTTAACTTTATCTAATATTGTGTTGTGCTCTTTATAGGTTTTGAAAAGCCTTCTGCAATTCAGCAAAGAGGAATCGTACCCTTTTGCAACGGTCTTGATGTGATCCAGCAGGCTCAGTCTGGTACTGGAAAACCGCCACTTTCTGCTCTGGTGTCTTGCAGAAGCTTGACATCACCCTTGTCCAGTGCGAAGCTCTTGTCTTGGCTCCCACCAGGGAGCTTGCTCAGCAGATTGAGAAGGTCATGCGTGCTCTTGGAGATTACTTGGGCGTCGAGGTTCATGCATGTGTTGGTGGTACACGTGTTAGTGACGATCAGCGTATTCTCCAGGCTGGTGTCCATGTTGTCGTTGGAACTCCCGGTCGTGTCTTTGACATGCTTCGAAGACAGTCTCTTCGCTCTGACTGTATAAAGATGTTTGTGATGGGCTCTGATTCCATATTAGTGATGGGCCTAACTCACACCCAAAAGCTAGCTCAAGAGTGGAGGATTACCCATACACATATATATTGCCCAAGGATATACATTACTAACGATGTGGGACAATCTAATAACACCTAACAAAGGCCTAGCGATTTTTAACCAATATTTTTTTTAAAAAAAACTTGTCTAGACTTTCAAAAAAGTCGGCCTACACTCCTAAAAAAGCAGCCTATATATTTTTTGAAGATTGGTTATAATGTTTTCTCTTTGTGGTGAATTTGCAGATCTATGACATATTCCAGCTTCTCCCACCAAAGATTCAGGTAGGAGTGTTCTCAGCAACAATGCCACCAGAAGCTCTCGAGATCAAAAAGAAGTTCATGAGCAAACCAGTGAGAATCTTGGTGAAACGTGACGAGCTAACACTTGAAGGTATCAAGCAGTTCTACGTGAACGTGGAGAAAGAAGAGTATAAGCTCGAAACTCTCTGTGACCTCTACAATACTCTAGGAATCACTCAGAGTGTCATCTTCGTAAACACTCGTCGCAAGGTGGACTGGCTCACAGACCAAATGAGAAGCCGTGACCACACGGTCTCGGCCACTCACGGAGATATGGATCAAAACATGAGAGACATTATAATGAGAGAGTTCAGGTCTGGTTCTTCTCGTGTTCTTATAACCGATCTCTTGGCTCGTGGTATTGATGTTCAGCAAGAATCTATTGTAATTAACTATGACCTCCCAACTCAGCCTGAGAACTACCTTCACCGTATAGGTAGAAGTGGAAGGTTTGGAAAGAAAGGTATGGCGATTAACTTTGTGACTCGTGATGATGAGAGAATGCTTACTGATATTCAGAAGCTCTACAATGTTGTTGTTGATGAGCTTCCATCAAAATTCGCTGACCTGTTTTGAAGAGAGAAAAGAAAACCACCGTTGTCAGCTGGAGAAGAAGGAAATGTTACTTGTTCCGCAAGCTTCTTATTTGATTTTTGACCTATCTGTCTCTTAATATTTATTCACCAACTCTTTGGAACACATGTCTCATCTGACTATTTTTTTTCATTATACTCTCATGCAATATTTTACTTCTTATCTTGCAATATCCATCATCTTCTTGGTAGCAATTTTTTTTGTATTTGTTGCTATTCACCAATTTATTTACCTAGAAATAGATAAAGGGGATTTAGTAAATCCACTTCAGGTGGTGTCTATTGGTTTTCTAGCGGCTCAAGAGCCGCTTACGCAAACGCCAGCACCGGCTGAAGTTTCCCATCCTGTTCCTAACCAATCTCCTCTTGGGAGGGGGGAATCGCTAGATCCCTCATGGGATAAAAAAAAACCTATCACTAAAGTTCTACCTATTCAAAAAATGGTGCTTGAACCCGAAGGGAAGCTCTTCTCGCAGGGTCAGGGCTGCCGCGCCTTGCCGCAGCAGTGGGGACTACGGTCGGACAGGTGGGATGTGTTTGTTGGAGGCTAACAGGGAAGCTTGCTTAGATATCGCCCGTGTCTGTTGTTAGGAATGCACGTGTGTCTCCCTAACTTAACTATCAAGGATTTAAGGTGTTTAGTCGATCTTGTCATCTAATAACATTTGAATTTCTCTTAGATTACACATTCCAGAAATGGATCTTATAAAACATTTCACATTTTCTGTGATTATCTCTGTTTTAGGTATTTGGGTAATCCTCCTTTAACAGACGAAATATTACTATTATGTCAATGAAAATTAAATCAATGTTATTAGCTGTGAATTCAAACCTTTTGGTATTTTCCCTTTCTTCGGATGATATGATGGATTAAATATTTTTTCATTATTTCCAAACTGTGGCAGCTGCGGAATCCGCTATTGGGTTAGCCATTTCTCGTTATAAGTTAGAGAGACGAATTTATTATAGCATTCAAGGTTAACCATTCGTCCCCTTTCAGTGGAGACTTTTCCTGGTGGACCTTACAGTCGAGTCACTTTGTACCTCTTCTCAAATTAGGAAAATATGAATTTGAGGAACGCCTTTCATTCTCTTTATATCTTGGTTGGCAGGGTCATGGCCTTTCTCACAAGTCCGTTTCTAAACTACTTCCTGTTCAGTTGCTGAAAAATAAATGGTGATAAGCTTTCTAAAAGAGATTGAGTTCGACGAATATGGATGCTAGAAATATGCTATTTTCTGCTATTCTATCTATTGTACATTAAGTTTGAAAAAGATCTCAATCAATAATGAAGAAATGATACATAGTAGCTCTTTGTTTTATAGGCTTTATCATATTCAGTCGTAAGAGTTTAGGTACGACTTTCAAAGTGACTCAACAGGAGAATCCAGACTATTCTTTGATCTTCGTCGGTGTTAATTATTATTATTTTTTTCTCAAGTCAACCCAGAAGACGAAAAGACCCTAATTTTCTCTTATCGATCGTCTTCTTGGTAGCAAGTTTTTTTGTCTTTGTTTTTGACCGGTTCATGTGAAATCTGCTGATGCAAATGGTTCAAAAAAACCGGTTCAGACAGTTTTTGGTGTATGAAGGTCACTCAATTTACGAAGCATGTTTCCATTGATATTCTCACACTATAAAACAAGAGAAAATGACTCTTATTTTTCAGTTAATTACTAGACTAATTCTCAGTTAATATTTGTACTTACATCAATTGCACAAAGGATACGAGGTATCACAAAAGTTTGAATGCCAGATTTTAGGTGGATGCTCCACGTTGGAAGAGGACCACTTGTCTATACGTGACCACACGGTCTCAGCTACTCACGGAGACATGGACCAAACACGAGAGATATCATCATGAAAGCGTTCAGGTCTGGTTCTTCCCGTGTTCTCATCACACCGATCTTTTGGCTCGTGGTATTGACGTGCAGCAAGTGTCTTGAATAATCATCTTTGACCTACTAACTCAGCCTGAGAACTTTGTGGCTTGCAATCAAGAAGTGGAAGGTTTGGGAGGAAAGGTGTGGCGATTAACTTTGTGGCTCGTGATGATGAGAGATTGCTTTTTGATACTCAGAAATTCTACAATGTTGTTGTTGAGGATTACATTTGATACAAGTTGAAATTTGTTGTTTGTGGTTGGATCAGTTGCATAAAGGATACGAGGTATAACAAAAGTTCGAATGTTCCACCTCCCATTCAAACTCTAAGTAGTTGATCCTCACAAGTCACTAGTAAATAGCGTTACTTTCTGGTTTAGTTCAGCTTTAGATATGCGAAACGGTTGTTGAGTAAGAGTCTGACTGGTTCTCCTGCCATCACCCGCAAACGCAGCTTTTGCGGTTGGTAGCAGTTGTTGGAGTTTTGCAACAATCACAGAAAGCGCTATAAACTGCTTCAAATCGTTCTGAATCTCTAAAATTCAAAAGCTGGTTTCAGCTAACGTTTGCAGTTGCAGGCGATTGCAGAAAGATAAAAAATATTTTTTTCTAAAACACTATATAAATATAAAAATAAAATTTTCATTTAAATTTTTAAATTAAAATAATTAAAATATTTATATTATAAAATTTCCAAAAAATATTCTCTTTAATTTTTTTAAAAATTTAATAGTGCAGTTTTTTCAATAAAAACTTTATATTTATCATGAAAATATGAATTTAATATTTTGATAATTATATAAAATATAAATATTGTTAATTTATTACTTAACCGCTGTTGTATTTGATGATAAATCAGTCATAAGTATTCCGCAAACACAACAATTTTCAACCATTAAACAAGTCGTATAAATCTCTTACTAACGCTTAAAACCGCAATCTCCCACATCCACAAACGCCCGCAACTGCAACCGCAACCACGACGTTGTAACCAATCAGACCTAAGACCCTAAGAGACTAGATAAGTGATTTCTCATTCATCTTTTATGTGTCGTTTTCTTGATGGATGTTATGTTAGTGAGGATAATTGGAATATTACACAGAATGATCTGCCATAAAATATTTCTGTTTATGGATTATTATAATATTTATGTGTAGTTTGGAATATTAGAACTAATATATTTCTGTTTGAAAATAATATTGTGACTTTGTTAAGAAAAAAATGAAAAATTAATTAAAATTTGAAAACTGAATATATAAATAAAGATTAATTTAATTTATTGTCATCAAAATTATAGAAGAAAATACTACTTCATAATTTTCTTTAAATATGAAAATACAAAAAAGATCCACATGTCAATAATATAGCCAAATAAGAAAATCAAATTAGTTAAAACAAAATCTGGAAACAATGACTTTGTCATAATGTTATGTGGTGTAGTTCAATTCATAAAGATAAATTTCTTGTTTTTAACTATATCAGAGGGTGAGTGACCAAACTTTCTTGTTTTTTTTTTCTCGTAAAATACTAGGGCTGGTCCGGGCTACACCTGAGTTTTTGTTGAAATCTTAATTATATATGTTATATGTTATTTTGATATATAAATATTATAATCTATTATAAAATATAAGTAATTAGACAATTATATAATTATTTTTAATTATTTATTCTTTTTTTTTCTTTCGAATTTTAAAATATTTAATATCTAAATTTTGTATGTCATAGATTATCATTATGTGTTTTGTGTAGAATTGTTGTGTATTGTGGCTCGTCTCGACTTTTGTTTCTTTATTTTGTGTGTGTTATTATTTTATTTTAAATTTCTTTTCAAAAAAATATTGTTTGGTTATTTATTACTCATTGTTTACTATTTGAATCTTTTTGATAATTATTCTAAATGTGATCTTATTTACCTAAATTGGAAAGAAAATTTAGTGTGTGAATCTTTTTTCCTTAGGTTGGATGAAATGTAAAGAAAAACAATATAATAATAAATTTTTTATCTTTCCAAACTTATAGACTTCTTTATTTATTTTGAATATGTTTAAGTATACTGTAACTTTTACTTAAATGTTAAATCTTTATTAAACTTTCATTAAAAATAGGAAACAAACTTTTCATTAAACTCAAGTTATATTACATAGCATAATTAGATTTTAATTAGTCTATTTTACATCTTATTAGTTCTTGGTTTTTAAATTATTTTCATTATGTACTGATTGTTAATTATATTATATCTGCATTCTAGGTTAACCTTAAATCCCCTATATATTATTTGAGAATCATTTAAAAAATTTTAACCTTAAGTTTGTATCAATTAAAAATAACCCCGATCCTATGTGGCATATATATTTGTCTTTTAAATTCTATTTAACACAATTCTAGAGCACCTTACATATACCATAGTTTAAACACATATTTACTAGAAAGATGTTGGTCACATATCTTATTAATATTAAAAAAAAATATTCATTATTTCCTTGAGTAAATGCTACGGAATTACCTAATGTGATTAAAATATATATGACAATTAATCATTTCAGTAATAAAGTTTTGCTAACAATTTTTATACCCTCTACCGTTTTTTAAATATTTTTATTAAAATAATTTACACAATTATATTATTTATATAATAAAAATTATATATACTGTATTTTGAATTTTTCTAAAACGGGTTTAAATTACTAAATTGTTAAATATCTCAAATAAACTTTTTGTAATCAATGACTTAAATTTTTATTATAATAAGATACAAATAATTATAAAATACAAGAGTAAGACATCTTATTTAATATGTTTATATTAATACATATATATATAGTTTAATTTAAATTACATAACATATAAAATACATACTTATATTTTGATATTTTCATTGAAAACTATTGAGAATTTAATTTTTGAATTTTAAAATTTGCCTTCAATTTTTAACAGTTCAAAATTTTGTTATAGAAATAAATTGATAATCATAAAACCTTTTAATGAGAAAATTTATTTACTAAACATTCATATTTAAAATATATTATAGATATTGTTAATGTCATTTAAATTTAATTGTATATAATATATGATGGATAAAATTGATTGCGTCGATTTATTTACCATAAACGATTGTTAATAGATAAGAATAATCGTTTGACTTAAATTCACACACCAAATCCCGTATATATTAATTGTAAAACATTTTAAAAGTTATAACCTTAAGTTTGTACTAATTAAAAAAAAATCATATCAAATGTGGCAGTTCTCTAGGAAATTCTACTTAGAAGAATTCTAGAGCACCTCATATAAAGCATACTTTTAAAACAAACTCTCTTGGTCTCATATAAGACATATCAAACAAAATAACATATCAAACTAAATCTCATATATATTCTTTCCTTAAATAAAACCTACGGGTTGTTCAAAAAAGAAAAACAACGGAATTGCCTAATGTGATTAAGATATATATGACTATTAGTGATTTTAAATAATAAAGATTTGTTAAAAATCTGTATACTTTATATCATTATTTTTTAATTTTTATTATTAAAATAACTTACACAACTACACTAATCATATAATAATTTTTTTTTATATATATGTTGTATTTTAAAATTTTCAAAACGAGTATAAATTACTAAAATTGTTTAAAATCTCACATAAACTTATGTGATCAAAGTATAAATTTGTTTTCTATAATAAGTTACAATAATTATAAAATAATATAAATAAACAATTTTATTTTAATAGGTGTTATGTTTTAATATATATATCTCATATTGTAATAAATAATTTTATTTTAAACCTAATTATAATTTAAAATTTAACTTATTTTTCAAAAAAATTATTTATATTTAAAAATTAATTTTTCAAAATATTATTTTCTGATATTATAGACAAATAAATAAATTATATTAAATTAGTTTGGGAACTTATATATTTTAAATGTGAATATTCTACCAACTGCTTTTTAAGAAAGCATTAGGGAACTTGATAATATTTTACCAATTAAGCCATGTGACTATTTATTTTCAATCTCTCGAACACTGAAAAGTGAATAGACATATGAATCGGACCCATTAAATTATAACTTTTGATCTACAATTCTAATTACAATTGTTTCTGATCCTACCTATAGATAATTATATAAAAATTCAAAAATTTTAAATTTATATAAAAACAATCATATGTAAAATTTAGATATGTAAATTTAAAATTTGTGAATACTAAATTTTTATATTTTAATTACATACACTCACCGTGCACAAGACGCATGTCTTATCCTAGTTTGGTAGTAAAAAGGGAACAAAAAATCTATGAGATTCAGTAATTTTATGTTCGTTGGTATAAGTCTATTGAAATGTATAAAGATTAATAGCGTCAATTGATTTATCCCCTTTCTTATGAGTTTTATTTATTATAATTATAAATTTCTTTGTTTTAATTATAATATATATTTTCACTGAATGATTATTTTTATTATCATTATAATAATTTTATTTATTATAATTATAAATGTATTTGCTTTAATTATATTATATATTTTCACTAAATGATTATTTTTAACAAAAAGAATAATGTCAATTTTTTTTTGGTTTATTATTTATAATGATTTAGAAGTTATTAATAAGTTTGAAAGTTTCAGTGGATTTATTTAGGGTTCACTTCATGTTTGTTTGGGACATGTTATACGGTTCAGTGTGATATAATTGTGTATTTTTGCAAGTTCTATTCTCGAGCCTATGGTATTATGTGCTAACTTTTCTCCAACTTATTCTTAAAAACTATCAATCAAGGGGAAATATATTTACTTTCATTTAATTTTTTTTATTACTGTTTCAAAAGAGATAAACACACACTTATCATTGTGCTAGATATAGTGAACGTAACAATATTTTCTCATTTTCCTTCTTTTTCATTTGATTTTTTTTTATTCTATTTGATCGGAAAAAACTTTGAGATCTTAGCGGTATAGTGTTATGAGGTGAAAGATTCTGAGGCAGGATGGTGTTAAGCTAATGGCATATTAATTTGTCAGCTTATACGCCTGATATTCAGATTTATTTTGTCTTCATCTTGTGTGTATTCGTTTAAAGATAATTGATTGTTATTTAGTGTTTACTTTTGTTTATAATAAAATGAATGACATGTTCACTTAAACATTTCACCGTCTCTATCAAAATTTGATGTCTGTTTATACTTTGGACATTTTTATTTTTATCTACTGTCAAACATATTTTACAATATTATATTATTTTTAGTATTGTAATATTTTATGTTTTGTTTGTTTTTCAAAAAATCACATAGTTATTTTTATGTGTCCGATTATTTTTTATACATAGTAATTGATATAAGTTCAATGTATACAATGTCATTTTTAACAACAACATACAATATAATTTATGTTGGAATCTTTGTATTTGTTTGATGTGTTTATTTATTTTGATTTAGTTTGTACTAATGTACTCCCGTGCTATGCATGGGTCAGATCTATTATATTTTTAATTGAGATATGAACAACACATGAAAACATTGTTAAGAAAAATATATTTGATTCATTCAATTAGTATTTATGTATTTGTCTTGCAAATAAATCTTTCATAAAATATATTTTTTTTTGTATTTTGTATAGAAGTAAATTTTAAAACAATAAAATTATGACATAGGAAAAACAAACTATTAAAAATAATATCAATATTTTGATGCTACAAAAAAACGTGGTTAGATATTTCTTCACTATTTCTATGGCATCCTATAAACTCCACAAAATCCTTAAATATTTTAATGGCTTCATATATGTATGTTCCTTCTTTGGTTTCTATTTTGTTGCGGACAGTATAAGAAAAAAATGATAATTTATGTTGATAATTGATAACTGATTTTTGATAATTTAACAAAATCCCCCTATACATTAAAAGAGAAGTCACTTGGACACGTGGCACTTATACAGGCCTTCTCAGAGAAATTCTGAGAATCTGATTGGTTGATTTATTTTAATTTTAATTTTAATTTATTTTTGGTTCGCCGTGCAAATGGTATGAGAATCGTATCTCAAATATTTTGTTAGGTTATTTACTTGCCTTACTCGGTTATTCGATAACTTGCGAAAGAAGTTGGAAATTAAATGCCAAAGATGTCAATCTCATACCATTAGGAAAGATTGACAATATATATTAACCATGATGATTCATGTTTTGATCATTGGTGCAGGCATCGTTTTTTATATCTTATGTTGTGACATCTGGATGGACTGGTTTGTCGTCAGAGAACTTCCGTTTGGTTCCTCTTATCTGGAATTTTGTGATGAAACTTTTCGGTAAGGAAGATGACAAAGAATTTGAGGTCCCTTCGACTCCATTTTGCCAAGAGATACCAAGTATTCTCTTTTTTGGACTTCTTGGTACAACTTACTTCTTCCTTTCTCCGTTAATACTGCCCTTCTTGTTGGTCTACTTTTGTCTTGGATACGTCATCTACCGCAACCAGGTAACCAAACCAATCTTACTGCTCAGTTACTTGGATTCTAAACTTGGTGGTAGTAAATTAAACTTTTTGTGTTGTTTGCAGCTTCTAAACGTATATGCGGCAAAGTATGAAACTGGTGGAAAGTTCTGGCCAATAGTACATAACTCCACTATCTTCTCTTTGGTTTTGATGCACGTTATTGCAATCGGAATATTCGGGCTTAAAGAGCTTCCCTTGGCATCTTCTTTAACAATCCCACTTCTGATTCTCACCTTCCTTTTCAGCATTTACTGCCACAGACGTTTCTTAGCAAATTTCAAATCTTATCCTACCGAGGTAAATGCCTTAGGGATCATTTCTTTTTCCTCAGAACTGTTTGGGAACATAAAATCTGACTACTTTGTATTATTAGACCTGTTGCAGTCTCATATATATATTATATATGAACATTAGCATAAAGCCTAACCTTCATTGTTGCAGTGTTTGGTAAACAAAGACAAAGCAGACGCGAGAGAGCAGAACATGTCTGAATTCTATGCGAAACTCGTTGTCGCTTATCGAGACCCCGCTGTCTCGGAGTCGTGGTACGGACGGGGCATCTCACCTGAAGATCCTCCACTTCTCCGTTCAAATCAAGGCTGAAAATAGACCTTTTCTCAAAAGAACTCTAGCTTGTCCTTTTGAAGTTGGTTATGTTGTTCAACGCGGGTTGTGTCCTTTAACAGATGGAAGAAGACACTAAACCGACTGCTGTGTGCATTGGCTCTCCACCTAGAAATTAGAATGAACCGGTTTTGTATTGTATTTGTATACAAGTTGTAAAGAAAGAAAAGAAAAAAGATTTGGTTTGTCATAATTAGACCACTAAACCGAATTGGCTTTTGACTCATGTTTTTGTATTACCCTTTTTTGCTTTCTTCATCTCCTATTTACTTGCAGTTACTTTGATTAATATAGTTCTCTTGAGCTTTGGACTTTTCCTTTTTGTGTGTATAGTTGCATCTTTTTTGTAGAAAATGGATGGATCAGGTGGTAAAGGTGGTGTGGAGTCGATTCTGCCAAATCACAAGCTCGGGAAAATTCTCGGTATCGGCTCCTTCGGTAAGGTGAAGATAGCTGAGCTCACTTTGACCGGACACAATGTTGCCATCAAGATCATCAGTAGTTGCAAAATCAAGAACATGTATGTGTAGGTAGAAGGTATACTTTTGTTGTATTCTCATAATAATTTACTTGATTTTGTTTCTGTTTGTAGACTTTGCGATTCTGTGGATATTAGTTTTCTTTTACTCAAAACTCATTTAGTGTTGGTTCCTGTTCTCTTTGATGCAGTGAGGAGAGAGATCAAAATCTTGAGACTATTTATGTATCCTCACATCATCCCTCTCTATGAGGTCAGAGAGACTCCCACAGATATTTATCTGATTATGGACTATGTGAACTCTGGTGAGCTATTTGATTATATTGTAGGGAATGGTTGATTGCAGGAAAACGAGGCAAATAACTTTTTCAGCAGGTATTGTATTCTTTTGATCATCATAGCAACTTTCCAAGCTATCATCCTTGTATTTGAGAGTTAAAAAAATTAGCCATGTCTTGTCTTTGATGTAGATAATATCAGGAGTGGAGTATTTATAAGCCAGAATGATGTATGGGTTTCTATAAGCCTTTTTGTCCTTTTTACTGTAACAAAAGATCTTTGAAGTAATCCGTGAATGTTATCTCAAGGCCGAGTTACAAGAGACTATGGTGTGTCTTCATTGTTCTTTTTGACTGTAGCAAAAGATCTTCGAAGTAATCTTTGAATGTTTAATTAATCAGGAAGGTACTCCACGTATGCATTGCATCCAGCAGATAATGTACCTTCACACGTTAGCCTTCCAGGACTGATGGAACTCCAAGGAGTTGGCTTGAGATCTCAGTACCATGCTGAGAAAATTGGGTTCTGACTTCAGGTGTTGATTTTGTTTTTCCTGAATTTATGCAATAAAAATTCAATGTATTTTCTTAATTATCTGTTCTTAGTTTGATTGATAATTCAACCACTTGATCCAAACAGTCTCGGGATCATCCGCGTGAAATAATGACAGCGGCCCTGAAACATGAAGTGCAGATTGGTTCCTAATAACGCAGATGGAATGTTCAGTAACTTGATGCACGATGATAGCTACTTTCGAGATGACTCCAGCATGATAGAGGACGTTGCAGCTGTTAAGTCTACTAATGTTGAAATACAGTTTAATTCTCTTTCTCCATTTAGCCGTTCCTGATGAGCACACATTCATATGACTCAAATAGGGTTTGCTTGCATGTCACGCTGTTTTCGATGTGTTTTAGTGTCTATGGGCATTTGGAAGTGGAATAGAAATAGAAATGAGTCTTGTTGAGTTCAAAGATCAATATGAGATCTCTGGGCTTGATGATGTTTGTTGTTGATGATTAAACAGTTGTATAAAAGTCAGGACGGCAAGTATTTGCAGAGAGGATACAGGGTCCCCAGATCCTGTTTTTGGAGCTATGTGTTTCTTTTCTTGATCAGCTCAGAGTCCTCTGAATAATCAAACCCGTCCACTCTAAGAATAATCCCCATTTGCCCATGTCCATCGTCGTGAACAAACGCTAATCAAAATCCAAAGAAAGCAAAAAAAAAATACAAAAATGAATTGAGTTAAATATCCATTTAGAGTTTGTATATATTATGTGAATGAATATTTTTTTAAAAAAAATTGACCTATATCTTAATACCCGATTTTCTTTTTCATTTAGGTATATATAGGTCTGGGCAAAAAAACCGGAACCGAAAAATCGAACCGGAACCAAACCGAAATACCTGAAACCGAAACCGGACCGAAATTGTTAAATATCCGAATGGTTCCTACATTTCTATACCCGAAAAACCGAACCGGAACCGGAACCGAACCGAGAACCGAATGGGTACCCGAATATCCGAAAAAATAAGTTATATTTTTAAAATAAGATAAAATGACATCAAGCCCACTTGAACCCATGTTAGATACAAAGAGTAAATATATTTTTACCACCAGACCACGTTATGTTTTATTTATTCTGTTATATTTATAAATATATATGATATTTTTATATTAAAATATGATAAATATTTATAAAATTAACATTTTATTGATTTTGAACTCTTGTTGGATTGACTAATATGTAAGCGTGTAAACATTAAACCATTTAAATTAATATATTAACTAATATATTATGTATATATATATTTGATTTATATATTAAATGGGTACCCGGAACCGAACCGACACCGAACTAGAACCGAACCGAAATCTCATAAGTATCTATTGGGTATAAGAATGATTTATCCGATATACCCAGAACCGAATGGTTCCTATCCAGAACCGAATGGTTCCTATCCGGAACCGAACCGAATATCCAAATGCCCGGACCTAGGTATATACATTTGCACTTGGAAAAAAAGACATCTGCACTTTAAAAAAAAATTACATCTGCACTTGTACTAGTGAGTTAACTACATATTACATTTAACGGACATCTTAATATAATAGTTTGACATGACAAAAAAGATGATCAAGACCGGTATACTTGATAATCCATTTGATTGAGACGGAGAAGAAAATTCAAAGATGCTGCAGACGCTAACCGGTCTAAATTTCAAAGATGAAGACCGAAGACTTAGTGTTGACTGTATTGTGTCCAAGTAAACGGTAAACGCAATTTTCCTCTTTTATCTAGCAAGAAACAAAACTCAGAAAAAGAACATACAGTATTTGCTTGAGCAGAGATAGAGATAAGACATGAGCCCTGAGTGTAGTTTTTCCCTCTTGATTCTCATACTCANCTCTTTTCCTTGAATTTTGATTCTGCCACGGGCTTGTGTCAAGAAAGATGTGGCACAGTCGAGATCCCCTTCCCATTTGGAATCGGAAAAGGTTGCTATCTCAACAAATGGTACGCATTAAAATGCGTTAATAATAGTTCCACCTTCCTTTCTATCGCTAACAAGGAAGTTTTGTATATCTCCCTACCGAGTGAATACCGCACTCAAGGTTTTGATTCGTACGGGTCAGTTTATATCAAGAATTCTATAACTTCAAAAGGTTGTTCCAGCGACAACGAGAAGGAAAACGACATAGCTGCATCAGTTTTAGATTTGACGGGCAGCCCTTTTTACGTTAGCTACAAGAATAGCCTTATTGCTGTTGGTTGCAACATGAGGGCATCTTTAGAAACTGCTGAGACAAGCACGGTGGGATGCACCTCTACTTGCGGCACAACACAACAGCCCTCGCATAATACGTCCACTCAAAACTATCTCGCATACGTTAGTTGTAAAGTCAAGAAATGGAAGATGCACTCCACTCACTGTGCTGCAGAAGCACTGGGAACCAAACAGTCTGCGATAGTTCTGGATGCTGCCAGGCAAGTATGCCGGACGAGCTTCAACAGCTTGTTGGCGTGGCGATAAATGAAAGTACCACCACAACTTTGGGAGGAGGGTGCAAAGTTGCCTTACTAACGGACGACCCATTCATTTTGGAAGATATATCTGATCCAAGACAGCTTCATGTTAAAGGATATGCTACGGTTGAGTTAGGATGGTTCATTCATACACGCTACTATTCCTTCATAGAGTCCTTGGGATGCGTTATAACAGATGAGTTCAATAGTACTCAACCATCTTACAAAGGAAACTGCACATGCAGCTATTTAGCCGATATTGATTACTATGCAAGTTGTGCGTGCAACAAGGGTTATAGAGGCAATCCATATGTTTCGGACGGATGCAAAGGTCAGTAACTGTGAACATTACTATTTTTTTCTCGAAGAAATCATCGATGCTCGAATCAAAGAGGAATGCAAGTTGGAACAAGTTATTGTGGCGGCAAAACTCGCAAGAAAATGTCTTAACCACAAAGGAAAAAAACGACCAAACATGAAGACAAACCTTTTGGAGGTAAAGTTGTTGTTTTTGGTGGAGATTTTAGACAGATTTTACCGGTTATACCTAGGGGTGGTAGAGCAGAGACGGTTTTGGCGGCTCTTAATTCGTCGTATCTTTGGGAGCACTGCAAAGTTTTGAAGCTAACAAAAAACATGAGATTGCTCGCTGGTCTTACTGATGATGCAGCAAAAGAGCTTCAATCCTTCTCAAACTGGATTTTGAATATTGGAGATGGAAAAATAAATTTGCCTAACGACGGTCAAGTTGAGATTGACATCCCTTCTGATTTGCTGATTAAAAATAATGGAGAAGATCCTATTGATACTATGGCAAAAGAGGTTTTTGGACAAGCTTTTCAAACCTCAACAGATAAGGATTTATATAGACATCGAGCCATTCTTACTCCCACTAATGATGAAGTGGATAAAATAAATGATTACATGCTTTCGCAGTTACCAGGTAACATGTTCAATCATTTACTCTTATGTTTCACTACCAATAAGAGGTCACTAAAGAAAAGGATTTACATATAATTTCAGGTGAAGAGAAGGTTTACCTTAGCTCAGACAGTATTATCCCATCCGATGTTGACATAGAAGAAACTGTAGTATATCCTGTAGAGTTTTTGAACAGTGTTAAAGTGGCTGGACTGCCTATACATTGTTTGAAGCTCAAGGTGGGTGCTCCTATTATGTGTCTCCATAACATTGATGTTGCTGATGGCTTATATAATGGTACTAGGCTAATTGTTACTCAGTTACTGCCCCATGTGATAGAAGGTAGAATTATAACCGGAAACAATATTGCGGGTGACAAGGTTTGGATCTCTAGAATGTTTGTCACACCACCTGACACAAAATTTCCCTTCAGAATGCGTCGAAGACAGTTTCCTGTTACATTGGCATTCGCGATGACCATCAACAAAAGTCAAGGTCAAACACTGGAAAGTGTTGGTTTGTTCCTGCCTAGGCCAGTATTCTCTCATGGTCAGCTCTACGTGGCACTTTCAAGAGTTAAGTCGAGATCGGGATTAAAAATCCTAATAACTGGTAAAGAATCGAAGCAGCAGACCAGAACATTAAATATTGTCTACAAACAAGTTTTCCAAAATATTCCGTAGTCAGGGTACGTGATTTTACTATACTTTTTCAAATAATTTTCGTTTTGATATATAAACTTTTACATTTATTTTTTGACAAGGTATTGGAAGATGGGTACTGATGAGGTAGAAGAGAGATTTTATTTGATTACCATCCATCATTTTGCCTATTTCTATGACGGTATGGCATTTAATATTATTTACAGATACAATAAATTCAGAAATTGTTTTATATCTATCACAGAAATTTATCCTGTCTTAGGGCTTACAAACTAAAATATTTTTTTGCAGGTGTCTAATGGATTTGCTACACCTTTATCGAGATTTTGTACTTCATAAATTTATATTATTTATGGATAATAATTTTATTTATTTTGGGAGCTTATTTTGAAATTTATTATATTTTCTTTTAATATATGTGTACATAAATAAGGTTGAAAATTAAACATAATACTATTATTCACCTAAAAATAAAAATATAACATATATATAATATAATTCTAATTACAAAGGATAATATAAAATCTGTTACTTCTAAAACTGTCAATTCTTTTTATAAGAATTCTTAGCAAATCCATTAGATGACGAATGAAAATATTTTCGTAAAACACACTAATTATTTTGAGACTTTGCAATTATACATACACACAATAACTGCTCGCACCATGTGCGTTATTTTATACCCTCTCATACAATGTCAAATATTGAGTACTGGCTTTTCTCCATGGTGTAGGGTTTCTCCAAAACATTGTGTACTCCGTTACTTCTAAACCAATACACTATTATAATAAATTTTTGAACATACTTATGCCCGCACAGGGTGCGGGCCGGTCACGTAGTAATATCTTAAACTTCTTACTTTTCTAATTTATTCCACAATTGATAATTTAAATTAATTTTAATTGGTACATGGTAAGTTGAGAAAAATTATGAATTATTTTGTGGGTCGTTACTTCATATTTGCCTCTTTTTCTTGTTAATTTAATTTAATGGGAATTTGTATTTATCTATGATTTATTATATATCAAATCTATAGTATGATTTTTTAGGTTTTTTATAGATGAACGTGATCAGTAGTTAAAATGTAATAACACATATTATGATTTTTAATTTACCCATGAAACTATTTGAAAATAACCGACACTATTTTAAAATTAATAAGATATGAACATAGATTTTTTTTTAAAAAAAAATAGCAATTTTGATGTGACGAACAAGTAAACAAGTAAGTCAGATGAACATAGATTTCTTAGAAAAAAAAAGAAAGCTATTTGAAAATAACTGTCTCTAAATTATATATGAACAAAGATTTCACCCTCTAGGCATCTTTCTCTAACGTTTTACCTCTACGCACCTTTATCTACATTTTGTCTCGTCGATGATACATTAAATCTTGAGATGGTTGAGCACAATTGCAGATTCTTGTCATCTTCTTAACATCTGTTCTTTCCATCCATAAAAAAATATGTAAAAGAATCTTTAAAATATAAGCTATAGAAACAGATTTATAAATCTATTAAAAGAAACAGATTCAAAAATTGATATCTAGATTTATATTATAAGCGAGAGAAAATCCACATTGATAATGGTTGCTCATGGATAAGATTAATAACATAGACTTTCTATTATTGTTGCAGGAAACATATGATTGATAACAATGAAACATTTACTTCTTCCTTTGATAAGGTGATGAAGTACTTTATTTTGAAAATTCAACAACAAATGAAAAGCACAAGAAAAAAATTAAAGAAGCGGGGTCTAAATTTTGTTTGTCAGAGACCATGTAGAAAAAATAATAGGTTTGCAACTTATACAGAAGATGAAGAAAACAGTTACAAAATATGCAAGTTAACGTGGGTTTAGATTTCTGAGAGAAAGTAGGAATATGGGTAGTTAAAATTTTGGATTGCAGAAAAATCGGATGAAAAAGAAATAATATTTTTTTTATTCTTTATTGTTTTGTTAAAAAATCCCACAAGTCACGGACGATATGTGATATTGAACACTTCTAGTATATTCAAAAAAGTAAATAGAGTCAGATTTTGACATAACGAAGAAACTAATGAGATTTTTGTTTATTATCTCTAGTATTTACCCGGTGATATGCACCAATCAATTTAATGTTCTAAAATGTTTTGATTATCATCATAATTTCAGTTAAAATAAATTATTACATTGATTTATTAACATTATTTAATGATTTTGAACTGAATTAAAAATACTTGATTTAACATAATAAAAATTTGGATGTAATGCTTCTTTTAATAGTTGTTAGAAATACGTAAAAAACAAATTAAGAAACTTCAAAATTAATTACAGAAAAATGATTGAAATTCTTTTGTAAATATTAAAATGTAAACAAAATTATTGTTTACCTGAAATTCTGAATGGTCAAATATTTTGCAACTCTATCCAATCCTAATGTGATTTAGTATATAAGGGATTCTGTTTTTTCCTATATATTTAATGCATATTAATTCCTAATGTGCTACTATTAAAAATCTAGTGATACACACACATAATATATATATATATATCAGATACTCACTATATATAATATATATATATATATGTATATTTAATGTTATTCTTATTTTCAATAAATTAATAAAAATCAGATACTCACTAAATTTGAATATATATATATATATATATTCAAATTTAGTGAGTTTTTATTAATTTATTGAAAATAAGAATAATATTAAATTTACTATTTATATATTTTATTTTATTACATAAGTAATTTCTAACATTTTTCAATGTTAATAAAATAATTTATCTAAGAATATAAATTATGGATTATTTTCAGCCTTTTATGTGGGAACCTTTGTATTTTTGATGTGTTTATCCCTTTTGATTTAGTTTCTATTCTTATTTTTTCCTGTATATTTATTGTATATTAATTCTTAATGTGCTTCTATAAAAAATCTACTCATACACACACATAAAATATATATATATATATATATATATATATATATATATTCAAATTTAGTGAGTATCTACTTTTTTAATTTATTGGAAATAAGAATAACATTAATTTCACTATTTATATTTTGTTATTTTATTAATAACATTAAATTTTACTAGTTATATTTTTAATTTTATTATATAAGTGATTTATAACATTGTCAATGTTTATAAAATAAAGTATCTATGAATATAAATTATGGATTATTTTTAGCCTTATACATTTTTTTTGAATTCATGGATATTATGATTTTTTTAATATATATATTTTTATCTCAAAATAAAAAGATTCATACTTTTTAAAAAGAATTGATAAATGCATTTACATAAAGTAAACATCTGTTAATATTAAACATTAATTTTTTGTGTAAGAATAAATCTTGCATGTCACTTTCTCCTCATCTTATTTAATGACATGACATCACCATGAGGAAAGAAACTTAACTTTATATAATAAGATAGTAAGATATATTATTAAACAGTCATACATATCTCCATTGAATAAAGATACATTAATTGTATGAGATAATGAAATTAAAAAGAAAGAAAATCCTGAATATATAGGAAAGGAGAACAATTCCAAAGAGGAAACCCAAAAGACCACCACCCAGAAAGAAAAGGAGGGTGGGATTATATAATGTCTTGTCTAACACCCCCTTTCATTCTCTATCTACCTCAAAATTTTATTAGTTGACATTGCTCTTAAGAAAATCTTTCACTTTTAATCTTACTCAACCTCAAGGTTCGAAAATATCTGTCTTTGCAATTTATTTGGCTTTGATTCCTTCTGGGTCTGGGCAAGAATGTTTCATGTTTATCTGTAAAATATATAATTAGTCATCGGTCATCATTACATGAATTAGTTAGGGCTTGAGACCCACTTATACCTGACTTGATCATAGCTTGTGTTATAATATGCTTTTATGGAGAGAGAAATGCTGTTACTGGATGAACCATTAGCTTTGTTTCTCTCCTGACATTGATATAGTTATTCAGATAATAATGCTTGTTTTCCTCTCTTTAAGCTATTCGGTTGTCTTTTAAACCTAAACGTTTGTGTTCTTTTGTGGGGTCTGTTTGTTATAGTCATGGCAGGATCAGCACCAGAAGGTACACAGTTTGATACGCGTCTGTTTGGTCATAAGCTCAATTTAGTGTTAGTCTTCAACATCTTTACTTTTAATACTTGCTCCTCTTTTATTTTTTGCTGTATTTGGCTAGCGTTGTCATCTCTATCTGGGTGGCGCCTGGTGGAACAGGATTTCACCGTGTATAATAAGGTCCATAAGAGCTTTGATGACATGGGTTTGCAAGAGAACCTTCTGAGGGGTATTTATGCTTATGGTAAGTCAAGAAGAAGAAGCATCATAATACAGTGCCGGCTTACATGGGGGGACAAACGGTGCGACCGCCCCGGGTCCAAACCCGTGTCCCACCAATTTTACTAATTAAGGGGCCCAAATATTTTTTTATACATACATATTTATATATAAAAAAATTTAAATATTTACAAATTTTAGTTGAATAGGGCCCTAAAATATTTTACATATACATGATTTATTTTTATCACAAAATTTATAAAGATGTTATGACATAATAACATCTTTTTTGTCTTTCTTGTTAGCTTTATCTAATAATGTGTTGTGCACTTTATAGGTTTTGAAAAGCCTTCTGATATTCAGCAAAGAGGAATTGTACCCTTTTGCAACGGTCTTGATGTGATGCAGCGGGCACAGTCCGGTACTGGCAAAACCGCTACTTTCTGCACTGGTGTCTTGCAGCAGCTTGACATCACCCTTGTCCAGTGCCAGGCTCTTGTCTTGGCTCCCACCAGGGAGCTTGCTCAGCAGATTGAGGAGGTCATGCGTGCTCTAGGAGAGTACCTTGGCGTCAAGATTCATGCCTGTGTTGGTGGAACCAGTGTTAGTGAGGATCAGCGTATTCTCCAAGCTGGTGTCCATGTGGTCGTTGGAACTCCCGGTCTTGTCCTTGACATGCTCAGAAGACAGTCTCTTCGCTCTGAATGCATCAAGATGTTTGTCCTTGATGATGCTGATGAAATGCTCTCCCGTGGTTTTAAAGATCAGGTTTGTCATGCTTGCATCTTTGGCTGCTATGTTATGGTTAGACTCAGATCTTGGTTCAGCAGGGGCATCTAATAACAAGTGAAAATGTACAAATGTAAACGGTCCAAAAAAGTCTAAAATTTAAGATTTTTGAAGATTGGTTATTGTGGTGAATTTGCAGATCTATGACATATTCCAGCTACTCCCACCAAATATTCAGGTAGGAGTGTCCTCAGCTACAATGCCACCAGAAGCTCTCGAGATCACAGAGAAGTTCATGAGAAAACCAGTGAGTATCTATGGGAAACTTGACGAGCTCAGAGTTCGAGGCATCCAACAGTACTATGTGGAGAAAGAAGAGTATAAGCTCGAAATTCTCTGTGCCCTCTACCATATTCTACGCATCACTCAGAGTGTCATATTCGTCAACACTCGTAGCAAGGTGGAGTGGCTCACTGACCAAATGAGAAGCCGTGACTACACGGTCTCAGCTATTCACGGAGACATGGACCAAAACACAAGGGCCATTATCATGAGAGAGTTCAGGTCTCGTTCTTCGGGTTTTCTCATCACAACCGATGGTATCGATGTGCACATATGGAATGCGCAGCAAGAATATACTGTAATTAACTATGACCTCCCAACTCAGCCGGAGAGCTACCTTCACCGTATAGGAAGAAGTGGAGAGATTGAGAGGCAAGGAGTGGCGATTAACTTAGTGACTCATGATGATGAGAGAATGCTTACTGATATTGATAAATGCTAGAATGTGGTTATTACGGATCTGCTTTGAAGAAGAAGAATTACACCGTTGTTAGCTGGAACAGAAGAAGAAAAGTTTACTTGTTTCACAAGCTTCTTATTTTGGTTTTGACCCATCTGTCTCTAATTAGTATTATTCACCAACTCTTTATGTCTCATCTGACTATTTACCATTTCAATCTCATGCAATATTTATTTTCTGTTCTTGCAATGTTGAATCTCTCATGCAGTAAAATAATTAACATACTGATGCTGGGCGGTTTATCAAAAACTGGTTTGAACATTTTTTGGATTATGAACAGTCATTCATCAATTAACAAAGCAAGTTAGATTCTTTTTATTGATGGTCTCACACTAGAAACACAAAGGAAAAATTGATACATTTTGTTATAATCGCTCATAAGCAAACCATTACCATATACTTTTGAGAAGTAGTGCTGATTGATGATCCGCAAAATTCAAGTTGTTGCGTAAAGATGAAGAAATTTGCTCAAAAACCATGGATCTTCTTGATGGTTATCCTTCTTCACAAGACCAGGCTGGTTGAACATATTCTTTAAGATCAGAATACACATTTTCTGCTATTAAACAAACTTAAAATAGGTTTTACAAAAAGGGTGCTAAGTTAACTTGCCTGAACAAGGAATGAAGAAACGTTTTTTGTTTAATTATGGTTTTACCTGGCAAGTAATTGAAAATCCTAAAAATATAGAAGTAAGACTATAAATGTCAACAAGGTCCTCAACAGATTTCGTAATCAAGTCTCTACTAACTAAAGAGTCAAGAAGAGAAAAAAAAAGATTCAAGAAGAGAAAACTGTATGAGAGGAAGATATGATAATAAACAAAAAGACGATGATATCATCATCATGTGACATTTTTGCCAAAAGCAATAAGCTCACTTTCTTCTAGGTTTCTCTTTTGTCCATCAACATTCTTATCATATTTTCCAGATCCACTAAAATTATTAAAATATTGTCCAAATGGACTTGTTGCTTGATTTTAGTAAAATATAAAAAAAAAATTAATGTTTAACACACAGTTATTTTCCGGGAGAATTTCAATTATACACATTTGATAGTACCACAATACAACTTTACTTTCAAAATGAGGACCTTTTCATAAATACCTACATTCATTAATGTGTAAAAGACTTAGTTGACCCTAACCTAAAAGACCCGTGAAATAGAAACTGCGGCTCCCCGACGAGGCATCCGGTGACGAGCTCTCGGAGTCGACGGTGACGAGCTCTCTGAGTCGACGGTGAGTAGCTCTCTGAGTCGACGGTGACGAGCTCTCTGATTCGACGGCGACGACACGCATCCTTTTCTTTGATGACTTAGAATCGAACGGTGGGGTAAACCATTACAACACAGCCGCAGGTGGAGACTACGGTGAGAGGATTGACTCCGCCTCCTGTGTTTCTTTTCGCCGATTATCCTCTCTTTCTCCCTTGTTAGTTCCCAAACTTTGATTTCAATCTGTTCGGATACTTTCAGAGCCGGTGCTTTTGACGAGCTGAAACAGAATGCCACTAAGGCTAAGATCCCCTTTTCTGGAAGATATCCATTTTGTAGTTTATGCAATCCTTGTCTATGCTTTTTTGGTGGATTATGGATAATAGTGTGATGATGATTATTTGTTGGGGTTCGTTGCAGCTACACTGAATCTGATCCAAAGAAGAAGAGCTTCTCAAAGGAAACCCACTACTTAACAACACTCCAACTCTGTTTAGTGTCAAAAGGAGGTTGGGATTCTGTTGATATCATGTTTCTTCATGAATCTTGTCATTAGACTTGCAGATACTAAAGATTGTTTTTACCTCGTTTCAGGTGGGATGATGATGTGGTTTCAAGAATCAGGCTCGTGGTGAAATGAAAGCACCTAAGCGCTTCATCAATGATACAATGAATGACTTCCATAGAAAATTCATGCACAGATATATGAAGTGATTAAACAAGAGTGTTGCTTGCTGCAACTTGTCTATACGATGAATGATTTAAGACTTTATCTTGTGATTTTATAATGTCTGTTGAATACTAATACAGAGAGATTTTGCCACTACCTGAAGGATCCATTATTAGTGCAAGGGTTTCACCTGGACCTGTGCTTCCTGTTATACTTTTCAAAATGTGCTTATACCCATCTGGATCTTGATTAGTATGCATCACCACCTTTGACACCATTGTCTTCACCAGGTTTTCTGAGCTTATACACCTGAAACGTTCTTGCATTTTTGTGTTCTCTTTTGCTTTAGATTGGTAGACTACATTCTTTCAATGTTTTGTAATTTAATTGAAGAGTTCACTTGTTTATGTCATTGTTTTGACTTGCACAAGGAGAATATGAAAATAAATATCAGTTTCAAGTAGGGCTGTTCAATATGGTGATACCGAACCGTATCGAACCGAACCGAACCGAAATAGACAATATGGTTTGGATTTGGTATATACCATATAAACCGAATGGATATGATTTTATAAAAACCGTAGGATTTGGATATGGTTAGGTTTATAACCGATTAAACCGAATAAACCGAACAAAACCGATCAAAGAAAAACTATATAAATATATACATTATATAACCATTTATTTTCTAGGAATAGTCTTTTTATTTTTATTTTTTATACCTTGTGAAGATATATCTTAATAATTTTATTTTATTTTCTTCAACTATTATCTAAATTTGATTTGATTTTACATGTTGTAAAAATTGTGAAATTAGATTGTACCATGTAATTTATTTGGAAGAACAAAAAGAAAATAAGAAAAACTATACAAAACTGAATCGTTGATCGTTTTGTTTGTTGTTAATTTCACATTTTTGTATTTATGAACACCTAGGATTATTTTAATAAATGATAGTTTTGACAATTTTTTTTTTTTTTTAAATTCATATAATATGAAACCAAATCAAATAATAATGTTATTTGGTATAAAACCGAATAAACCGAAAACCGGTAGTATAAATACCGAACCGAACCAAATTAAATATGGTTCCAATATGGTAGCTAATTTTTATAACCAAATAACCGAAAACCAAAAAAAAACCGAACCGAAACCGAACCGAAACCGAACCGAAACCGGACCGAACACCAGATTGAACAGGCCTAGTTTCAAGTACTTATGTAGAAGGTTAATAATTATTTCCATTTTTTTGTGTAGTCAGCTAAAGTGTAAATGGCTTGAATATATCTTCTTACCAATCTGATATGCATGTTTTACTTGACATAGTAGTTGTTGCCAAGCTTCGTGACCGCAGCTTGAGGCTGCTGATTAGTGATGTTTTGTTTGGTATTTTCCCGTGAATCAGCCTGCAAGGCCAGGAAAGCTAATGGCTGACCCTGAAGGAGAGGTAGAGATCTGAGTATTCTGTACGCTGACGTTGCTATTAAAATGTAAGTATTGTTACGAGTACGTGGATGACAAAGTTGATACGGCTGATTTGGTCTAAGGTGCCAGATTAAGATTTTGATCCGAAAGGACGTGGGTTCAATTCCTACTGTAAACATTTTTTTTTTAATTTTTTGCGCTAGTCCCCTTGTTGTCTACATCTACATGTGTGTTTGCTTATCTGTTGCTGATGTTTGTTCTATCCGATTATTGGATTTAATGTTTGATTTTTTTTACTGAAGATGAGTTCAATAAAAGAGCAATTAAAAGGTCTCTAAATCATTTAAAAGAATCCGTAACCATTTAGAAAGGTTTATAAAACAATTTATAATGATTTGTATGATAATTTATAACGGTTTATAAAGGTATATAGATAATTTATAAATGTTTATAAAAATAATTTATAAAGACTATATACTTTTATAAAGGTTTATAAAACAAATTATAAAGATACGTATAATTATTTGTAAGTTTATACCATTTATAAAGGCTTATAAAACAAGTTATTAAATCTATAAACCATTTATAAATGTTTATAAGAAAATTATGAAAGCTTATAAATAATGTTTTTTATGTAGGGCTTTTAGATTTTGAATTTAGATATACAAAATTCAAACTTTTAATCATTTTTAAATCATTTATAAGCCTTTATAATCACTTTATAATTAAAAATTATTTTTTTACTTTTTTGCGCTAGTCCCCTTGTTGTCTACATCTACATGTGTGTGTGCTTATCTGTTGCTGATATTTGTTCTATCCGATTATTGGATTTAATGTTTGATTTTTTTACTGAAGATGAGTTCAATAAAAGAGCAATTAAAAGGTCTCTAAATCATTTAAAAGAATCTGTAACCATTTAGAAAGGTTTATAAAACAATTTATAATGATTTGTATGATAATTTATAACGGTTTATAAAGGTATATAGATAATTTATAAATGTTTATAAAAACAATTTATAAAGACTATATACTTTTATAAAGGTTTATAAAACAAATTATAAAGATACGTATAATTATTTGTAAGTTTATACCATATATAAAGGCTTATAAAACAAGTTATTAAATCTATAAACCATTTATAAATGTTTATAAGAAAATTATGAAAGCTTATAAATAATTTTTTTTATGCAGGGCTTTTAGATTTTGAATTTAGATATATAAAATTCAAACTTTTAATCATTTTTTAAATCATTTATAAGCCTTTATAATCACTTTATAATTCTTATAAATCAAAAGCTTATTTATTAAAATTAATAAATAACCTTATAAATCCTATAATTAGTTTATAAACCCTTTTAAATCAGTTTATAAACTCTAATAAATCAAACTTATCGACCATTATAAATAAAATATGTGATTAATCCTAATATTCTTTAAAATTATTTTGATAAATATTTCTTTTTTTTACCAAAATAAATATTTCATAAATTAACAAATTAACTTTAATAAATTAATTTATAAATCTTTATAAATCACCATTATAAACATACATGGGAAAATTAATTTATAATCATTTATAAACCTTTATAAATTCTTATAAATCAAAAGCCAATTTATTAAAATTAAAAATATTTTATAAACCCTATAATCAGTTTATAAACCCTTTTAAATCGGTTTTTAAACATTTATAAATCAAACTTATAGACCAGTATAAATAAAATATGTGGTTAATCATAATGTTCTCTAATTTAGTTTAATAAATATTTCATAAATTAATAAATAAACCTTAATAAATTAGTTTATAGACCTTTATAAATCAGTTGCCCAAAAAAGACCTTTATAAATCAATATAAAATTCTTATAATCAACTTATAAATCTTTATAAATCATTCAATGTCTTTATACACACTTATAAGTCATTTATAAACTCATATAATTCCAATTCGTTTTATAAAATCTTTATAAATAAATTTATAAGCTCTTATAAATAAGTTTATATTTCTTATAAATAATTCTTTAAACTTTTATAAATCAGTCATCACAATATATGAGCCAAGATCTTAACCACCAATAGCAAAATACCATGTTCGAATAAGACAATATGTCCTGCTTAACTTCTAGATTATCCATCTCTATCCAAACTCGTGTGTATAAATTGATTCATAAGGATTTATAAATTAATTTATAATACTTTATAAAACGAGTCTATAAGTTAACTATAAATATTTATAAACTAATTTATAAAGCGTTATAAAAAATAGTCTCAATTACTTAGCCGCAAAATAATAGATTCTAGTTCATACATAACCAGGCACATATGCCACAGAGAAGTTAGTAACTTATTTGCTTGATCAAACATGTTACAAACAAATAGATTCCAGTTCATACATAATCAGGCACAGAACTACGCCTAGTTTAGTAGAGTAGTTAGTATGAGACAACTCATTCAGCATAGCAACCAAGATCAAGCGCCTTGAATTTTGATTTGTAGCTTTTATCACTTACCAAAACACAAAGGCAGACCTGCATCGTGATGCTCTTCTCCTCTGTTTCATTAAAGTAGCTTCTCTAAACCATCATAATCTACCCAGAATACTTTTTCCATTGGCAAGAGACAAGCTTATGTTCTTCCCCTCTGTTTCATTAAAGTAACTAGCATTGGCAGATTCCACCGAGACGATACTGTTAATATGATAATATCAATCCCCACATATATAGTTATAGCTATCTTCAATGGCTTCAGAGCTTGGATTAGTGTCAAGCTCTACAGCCAAGATATGGTTTTCAGTTTTATTATCATTGTCTTATTGAAAAACCGTAAATATGATGTTGCAGAGCCACTATACCTGAGGTCCATCGAAGGAGACACCACAAAAGCTAGTCCCTGGCTGTCGCCTTGCAACAGAAACATTGCAAAGACAAATTCTGTTGAAAAAGAAAGTGATGATGACCTTGTGAAGTTCATTGGAGAGCATGGCCAGTGCTCTTGTTTGTATTATTTGTAAGATGCAATAGGCCATCATCGAGAGTTTCCATGCCATCACGATACAGGTCTGCTTTACTGAAGTTATAGTGCACAAACTGAGTAACCTCTTGAGCTAACATGAAAAGGTAGAGTAAAGTCAGAGTCACTGACCAGAAGAAGTAGCAGAAAACTACTACCTTCCTAAGTAAACCAATCAACAGCCGAGCAAGACTACTACCTCCCTAGTTGCATTGAGTGTTGAAGAAAGTAACGGTTCTTGAGTTGAAACCAAATATACTTAAAAGAGCCATCGATCCAAAATATACTAAAGTATAATGATTAGCTCAGAAAGTTGAAACCAAATATACTTTTTGCAGTACCATATAAAAAAATTTTCAAAGACCCAAACTTTCTCAAACTATAGTATCAAAATTGGAGTCTTTTAAGTTACTAAATTATATTTCAAAAGACAAAAGCGTATATGAAAGTTAAAACCTTTGTAGCAGCAGATGATGAAACTTCAGGCTGGCAATTTCCATCTGCCAATGTCTTCTGCAATTTACAGATCTCCCTTTCCATGTTCTTAGCTTTTGTCTCTGCTTCCTAGAGAAAAACAAAACAAAACAAAAGGACCAAATCATTTACAAACAAATAAACACAAAATTAATCCCACAAAGACACAATCCAAAAGAAAGAACAATCAGAGAATAATCAAAGGGGCTTACTTTCACTTGCTTCAGCTCAGCCGCCATAGACACCATGTTCCGCCTGAATCTGTTTAAAGCATCCGATCAAATCTCAGAAAATATGTCATGATGAAGAAGAGAAGGAATAAAACTATGTTCAATGCATGTGAACAAATCTAGAATTATTAACATACAATAATACAAAGAACTATCATTAACGTATGAAATTTTTTTAATGAAATCAAAGTTTATATTATATTTCTTCAGACAGTGAGAAGCAAAGAAAACATCAAAGGAGTTTAGCAGGACCTTTTGTTCTCTCGGGAAAAAAAATGAATTCATCATCTTTCGTAGCTTATAAGATGTGAAGAAAGGCTCAAGAGATTCAACGATGCAAACCCATTCCTTTTCTTCGTAAGTTCCAAATCCTAGTTGCCCATCTTCTCCAGAGCCCCTGTACAAAACACAATCAAAAGAAAAAAGAGCAATAAGTAAGAAGAAACATCAATGGAGAAGAAGAAGAAGAAGAAGAAGAGATCTCTCTGTCGAGGCTGATTTTGGCTGAATCTGGTCTGAGAAGAAGAGATTCTTGTGAGAAAAGGAGAGAGAGAGAGAGAGGAAGAGGTTTCGGAAGAGTCACCTCTTCCGTAAGGTTTCCAAATTTGATACCTTTTTCTTCTAATGGCGGAAGCAACAATTAGCAGAACGAACATGTTCATCGGAAGAGCTTGTGTGAATCACCACAAGAATGTAAATGATTTCCCTATCTCCCCGGTGAGCTTTGGTTTGAAAAAGAGTTTCTCTTCTCTCAAGCTGAAGCCTCTGACACAGATAGATACTCGATTTCAGACCTTTACAAGAAGCTCCGCGGCTCGACGGACCTCGCCGTAGCTTCGTCGGACCTCACCATAGCTTCGTCGCATCTCGCCGTAGCTTCATCGAACCTCGCCGTAGGACCTCACCATAGCTTCGTCGCATCTCGCCGTAGCTTCATCGAATCTCGCCGTAGCTTCGTCCGATCTCGCCGTAGCTTCGTAGGATCTCGCCGTAAAACTCTTCAGTGTCGCCCGATCTCGCCGGAGAAATCATCACCGCCGGAGAATACGTCGATTGAATCTGAGATAAGAGTTAGTGGCTTAATTAATTAAGGGTATATAAGTACTTTGCCAATTAAAATTTTAGTGGTAAAATTGATTAATGTATAAATGAAATGTGGTATCATAAAAGTGCTATATTTGGCAATTTCTCTTATTTTCCTCCCATACCAAAAGCGAAAATTAGCTCAGACTAGGCTTGGACAGAAACCGGGTACTTCACTTTTTTGCTCTACCTACTACTTAATTTGTCTTGTGCAAGTATTAGAATTTTCGGCTTGTACTTATACTCGTTTCGTTCAGATATTTAATTAATCGAGTATTTGCCTATATTTTACATACTTATTTGTTATTTGATAATAGGAAAAAAGTTTCTCAACTACACGAAGTTTACACTAATATGGTGGAAACCATCCAATGTATAAAAATGTGTCAAGAACTACACGAAGTATATGTTAATACATGCCACATGTACGAAGTAAATGATATTATGGTGGCAACATCACAATCGGATTTATTTGTTCTTAAGCTAAGTTAATGGGGTCAATCCGTAATTTATGAAACTTAATAAACTTAATTGATTTTAATTATTAAAGTTAATAAAATTAATAAACATAATAAACATAATATTTTTTAAAAACTTAATAAAATTAATAAACTTAATAAACTTAATATTTTTTGTTAAACTTACTAAATTTATTAAATTTAATAAATTTATTAAACATAATAAATTTATTAAACTTAATAAATTTATTAAACTTCATAAACTTAATAAACTTAACAAACTTAATAACTTATAAACTTAATAAGTTATTAAACTTAATATACTTAACAAACTTAATAAACTTAATGATTTATTAAGTTTAATAAATCTTATTAAGTTTATAAAGTTTATTAAATTTTTAAAAATTATTATGTTTAATAAGCTAGAATCCTAAAAATAATAAACAAAACAATTTAATAAATTTATTAAGTTTAATAATTTTAATAATTTAATAAATTTATTAAATTATTATGTTTATTAAGTTTGCTAAGTATATTAAGTTTAATAACTTATTAAGTTTATAAGTTAATAAGTTTGTTAAGTTTATGAAGTTTAATAATTTTATTAAGTTTAATAATTTTTTTAAAAAATATTATGTTTATTATGTTTATTAATTTTATCAAATTTTTTAAAATATTATGTTTATTAATTTTATCAATTTTTTTTAAAATACTATGTTTATTATGTTTATTAATTTTATCACATTTTTAAAAAATATTATGTTTATTAAGTTTATTATTTTATTAACTTTAATAATTAAAATTAATTAATTTTATTAAGTTTCATAAATTACGGATTGACCCCATTAACTTAGCTTAAGAACAATTAAATCCGATTGTGATGTTGCCACCATAATATCTTTTACTTAGTATATGTGGCATGTATTAACATATACTTCGTGTAGTTCTTGACACATTTTTATACATTGGATGGTTTCCACCATATTAGTGTAAACTTCGTGTAGCTGAGAAACTTTTTTCCTTGATAATACTTAATACTTATTTACCTAGATTTAAAACTTTAAAAATAAATGTACCAAAACATACAAGTTCAGTTAACGTGAAATAAATACTTTTATTTTTATATAATTGTTATTTTATTTAGTCTATTCGAATAATTTGATTTAGCGAATGTATATGTTTCATTTGTAATAATCATACACTACATAAATAACTAAAAAGTAATATATTATTTATTTTTATTACAATATTAGTAGTAAAACAAGTATTGTAAAGAGTAGTACCTATTTTGAAAATTAACAAACAAGTATCAAGCTGAGTAATAAAAAAAAATCGTGATACTTGATTTGTATTTGGAAGTAATATGATTTGCATACTTAGTACTTGATTTGACATTTCAAGTACTTATTTTTTCAAACTGAATATGAGTCTAATAGCAAGTACAAACCTAGTAAGTGTTGATCCCTATCTCAGACAGTATTAAAACGACGTCATATTATTAACAAAAAAAGTGTGGGCTCATAGAATAAAGCTCAAGGATGTCAAAAAAGAATAGAGCCCAAGCCCAGATAATGTTTCTTCTCCTTCTTCGTCGTTCTTTTTCCGTGTGTGTGTGTGGAAACCAACGATTATGGATCAGTAAAAAGAAAAATCTTCTTACTCTCTCGTGGTGGCGGAAGCCTATTCGATTTCCGCAAAGGTATCAATCAAGTTTCTCATATTCCTTTACAACTCAAGAGTTATCTGTTGAAATGTCTCTTGGCTTTACTTAGTTTTAGAGTTTATGTGTTGAAATGCCTTTAGCTTTATCTCAATTGAGTGCCCTCAGGTTAATGACATTTGAGTAAACTGGCCTTTGTGAATGATAACAATCTTTTATTAGTTGATTTTTTTTTTTAATTCTTATTGTACACTTGTGTTTTTAATTTAAAAAGGGGTAAACGAGTCTTATATCATCTCTCAAAGTATTTAGAAATGACAGACTTTTTACATTGTACTATTGCATGTAGAATACACTACTTGGGCGACAAAGATGAGGCTGTTGAAGGTCGCCACGTGTAACTTGAATCAATGGGCCATGGAATTCGAATGCAACATGAAGAACATCAAGACTTCAATTGCTGAGGCAAAGTCTGCCGGTGCTGTCATCAGGCTTGGACCCGAGCTCGAGGTCACTGGCTATGGCTGCGAGGATCACTTCTTGGAGCTAGACACCGTCACTCACGCGTATGCTTCTCTGATTAAATCAATTTCTTGAATGCTTTTATACATTTTGAATATCCTCCTTTTTTTTTTGTTCAGGTGGGAGTGTTTGAAGGAATTGCTGGTTGGTGATTGGACAGATGGAATATTGTGTAGCATAGGAATGCCTGTGATTAAAGGAGCAGAGCGGTATAACTGTCAGGTTCTCTGTATGAACAGAAGAATCATCATGATTCGACCAAAAATGTGGCTCGCAAACGATGGCAACTATAGGGAGCTTAGGTGGTTCACTGCTTGGAAGCTGAGAGGAGAGCTCCATGAGTTCCACCTCCCTATTGATGTTTCAGAAGCCTTGTCACAGCAATCAGCTCCTTTTGGTTATGGTTACATCCAGTTTATCGACACGTAAGTCTGTATATAATGCTTACTTAATTGTGTGCAATGATTCTAAACAGAATCGACTGTTATATTTCCTTATCAGAGCTGTTGCAGTCGAAGTCTGTGAGGAGCTGTTTAGTCCAGTCCCTCCTCATGCTGAGCTTGCATTGAACGGTGTGGAGGTGTTTATGAATGCTAGTGGGAGTCATCACCAGCTTAGAAAGCTTGATATTCGCTTGAATGCTTTCATGGGGGCTACCAACGCTCGTGGTGGGGTATATATGTACAGTAATCAACAGGGATGCGATTGTGGCCGCTTATACTATGGTATGTTCAAAGAATTTTCATTTTCATTTTGAATGATTCTTATCTACGTTTATGTAATACAAGTGTAGATGGATGTGCATGCATTGTTGTAAATGGGCATGTTGTAGCTCAAGGCTCACAGTTTTCATTGAAGGACGTTGAGGTCATCATTTCCCAAGTGGATCTAGATGCGGTATCTTACAGTTATCCTCTGGTTTAGTTTCTGTGATGATATGTATATCTGACAAATTTCTTTAAGAGCATTTTTGCTTTCTTTGGTTGAGAAAGGTTGCTAGTCTTCGTGGATCTATAAGCAGTTTTCAGGAACAAGCAAGCTGCAAGGTGAAAGTATCTTCAGTATATGTGCCCTATAAGCTGACACAGTCCTTCAACCTGAAAATGACACTAAGCAGTCCGAAGAAGGTCTTAAATCCTCCTCTGCTTCCCATATCACTAAACATAAGTGAATGTTTCAAAATCTGATTTTTCTTCGTATGTAGATCATGTACCACTCTCCACAAGAAGAAATAGCCTTTGGTCCTGCTTGCTGGCTGTGGGACTATTTGAGAAGAAGTGGAGCTTCAGGGTTTTTGCTTCCTCTTTCTGGTGGAGCTGATAGCTCGTCTGTGGCGGCTATTGTTGGCTGCATGTGCCAACTTGTTGTTAAAGGTATGTTGAACTGTGTTTGTCTAGTTAGAAAACACACTAGAATATATTAAAAGAGACTTGCATGATGTTGATATCTTCTTCTCGTGTAGAGATTGCAAAAGGAGATGAGCAAGTGAAAACTGATGCGAATCGAATTGGGAATTATGCTGATGGACAGTTTCCTACTGATAGCAAAGAGTTTGCTAAGCGAATATTTTACACTGTCTTTATGGGGTCCGAAAACAGGTAAATTAGTAAAACATAGAAATAAGAATGTGAGTTTTGGTCAAGTAATTGCATTTTTGCAGCAAACATCAACCTTTTCCCATTTTGAAATCTCAAATGTGCAGTTCTAAGGAGACAAAAATGCGTGCAAAGCAGCTGGCAGAAGAGATTGGTGCGTGGCATCTTGATGTCTGCATAGATGGTGTTGTCTCTGCGGTTCTATCTTTATTTCAAACGGTTACAGGCAAGCGACCTCGGTACAAGGTATATAGAAACAGTTGGACCAACCACAATATGATCATCTTGAAATTAGAAGAAGAGCAAACTGTTGAAATGGTTTTTTTTTTGGTTTTGTGTATAGGTTGATGGAGGATCAAACGCTGAGAACCTCGGATTGCAGAACATACAAGCACGGATGAGAATGGTGTTAGCGTTTATGTTAGCGTCTCTCTTGCCTTGGGTTCATAGCAAGCCAGGCTTTTACCTTGTTCTAGGCAGCTCCAACGTTGATGAAGGTCTCCGCGGTTACCTGACAAAGGTGATGGGGAATGATTATCTCTCTTTATAAATGCTACATCTCAATTCCCCTATAGATTATTAATATTTTTTCTCTTGGTTGAAACAGTATGATTGTAGCTCGGCAGACATAAACCCCATAGGAAGTATCAGCAAACAGGATCTGAGGTTGTTCTTAAGATGGGCTGCAACAAATCTCGGTTATAAATCCTTGGCAGAGATAGAAGCTGCTCCACCAACAGCTGAGCTTGAGCCCATTCGTTCTGACTACACTCAGGTAAATAACAAAACTGTTTGTGAGTCTCTAGCTAAAGCCAACTAAGTATCTATTCAGACATCTTGAGTTGTGAAAACAGCTTGATGAAGTCGATATGGGAATGACATATGAAGAGCTTTCAGTCTATGGTAGAATGAGGAAAATATTCCGGTGCGGTCCAGTTTCCATGTTCAAGGTTTGAGTTTCTGATCTTCAGACAAAATGATGCACTGAAACTGACTTTTGTCTTTTGATTCTATAGAATTTATGTTACACGTGGGGAACAAAGCTAAGCCCAGCAGAAGTAGCTGAGAAAGTGAAATACTTCTTCAAATATTATTCGATTAATCGACACAAGATGACTGTCCTTACACCATCTTACCATGCTGAGGTACTACTACTGTTTGTAATCTGTCTCAAGAGAAGAGAACTCATTGTGGTTTTTGTTGTAGAGTTACTCTCCAGAGGACAACAGATTTGATCTGAGGCAGTTTCTATACAACAGCAAGTGGCCATACCAGTTCAAAAAGATTGACGAGATTGTTGACGGCTTAAATGGCGACTCGGTTGCTTTACCTGAAGAAGAAGCAAGCTGCGGCGAAGGAGGAGTCGTAGCAGCAAATTCCGGTGACCCAAGCGCAGGTCTCTGATGAACAATCTTTCCCTTAACCCACTCTGTTTCAACTCAAAGTGGAAAAAAAATATAACATCTTTGTGTCACTGGAATGTATAAAGTTGGTGTTGAAGTGAAAACAACACTACTGGTTTCCAATAAGTTTACTTTTTGAATGCGACATTGCGTCATTGATCATTTTTTATTGTTAACCAGTTTATTGGTATGCAATAATAAACTGACTCTTGTACAGCTTCCATCCCCTTCATAAAAATCTAGTTTTTGTGTAAGAATGTAATTGTATTCCTTAGTTTGAGTCGAGAGCATGTTTTTCAATTACTTGTTATGTTTTAAACAACTAGGTGTTATTCTTTAAATCTATACTATTAAAAGTAAAGGCATCCTTGAAAAAATCGACTCATGGAAATTGTGTGCATCCTTCATTAATGATATTTTAATAATTTATTTTCGTCTGACATCTATATATATATCATCTATATATATCGAATGTTACAAATCATATCACATTAACCATATTCCCGATTTAATCTCTCTCTTCCCATTAATTACTCTAACCATGTTTCATATATTTATTTTATCTGGGTTATACCAATATGATTTGTATGATATGATATTATTTGTAACATTTGGTTACTACACTATAGATTACATAATTCAAATATATATCAAACCCATTTTAGTAGTATAGAAATGGCCAGAGTAATTAAATATGTGATATGATTTGTTACATTCTATATAAAACATTGTCCTTTTGGTATATGCATAAATATACTAATATGATTTGTATGATATGATATGATTTGTAACATTTGATATCATATGATTTGTAATATTCGATATATATACAGTCATTGTCCTTTCAGTATATGTGATATGACTTGTATAATATGATATTATTTGTAACATTTGATATCATATGATTTGTAACATATGATATCAACCCAATACATTACATAATTCAAATATATATCAAACCCATTTTAGTAGTATAGATATGGCCAGAGTAAATACAATTGTGACATGGCCAGAGAAATAAGGTTACAAATAATATGATATATAAAACATTGTCCTTCTATATGCATAAATATACTAATGTGATTTGTATGATATGATATGATTTGTAACATTTGATATCATACTGATATTCAACATTCGATATAGCAGCCATAGTCCTTTCGGTATATGTGATATGATTTGTATGATATGATATTATTTGTAACATTTGATATCATATGATTTGTAAAATTTTGTTACTACCCTATAGATTACATAATTCAAATATATATACACCCTATGATTTGTAACATTCGATATAGCAGACATTGTCCTTTTGGTATTTGCATAAATATGTGATATGATTTGTATAATATTATATCATTTGTAACACTTGATATCATATGATTTGTGAAAATAATGGTTATTACACTATATATTAGATAATTCAAATATATATCAAACCCATTTATGAGTGATAATAAGTGACATTTAATGACGAGATACGTTTTCGTAATAAAATATTGCAAATACTAAAATGAATAAATTCTTTCATCTACAAGTAACTATATCGTGGTTAGTTATTTTTGGTGGATTCCATATATTTCTGTTAACGAAATGAATGAATTTATTCCTTTTAATATTTGCAATACAGTATTTTCTATAGGGTAGTAACAAATAAAGCTTTTCTATTTAACAAAGATTTTCTATTTAATATTGGTAACGTGCAAAAATAAAAGCTCAATAATGGCAAAAACATTTAATTTCAACAAAAAAATATAGGTTATTAAATGAAGTGTTGCATCTCTAGAAAGCTCTTTTTCTTCTCTATATAAAGTGGAATCTCTACCGTCTCCTATCAAAATCTATTTTCTCCAGATTTTTCTCAGCAAACAAGAAGAAAACACTTGGTAAAATATCTTTTTTTTTAGTTTTTATCATTGCAAGTAGAAGGAGGATTTGTCCTCTGTTTCATATGGAATCAAACTTTGTTACTTTTTTTTTAGATCTTTTATTGTTGAACGAAACATGTTGTTTATTTTGTATACGATTATAGCAGCCATAACAACATGCATGAACTGATCAATGAGAGTTAATAAGATCCGCGCTTAATTTTGTTAAGATTTATGTCATGACAAATAGTTATCTTTCATATATATATTCTCTTTTAATGTCTTCACTGAGAGTTAAATGTTTTGATGGTGTTATACATCATTTTTTTTTCTAACAGAATTTCCATTTATATGAACATGCAGATCACGATTTAAGTATGGCTTCGCACCAGTTTCATGGATCAATGTTGCAAGAGGCTTACACGTCTGGAATGAATGATAGGACTAATCATTACCGAAGGATTCTTAACATGTACATGAGGTTCTATGAAGCCGTTGTTGCGAAGTATAATGCTGAGGTGGAGGTGTATCGCATTGCCAATAAACTTGAACTCTTTGAAGAGCTCTTCAATGATGGCGTTATGAACCATGTTAAGGACAAGCTGGAAAAGGAACTTGCTCTTGCTCATGCCCGTCTTTCTGATGTGAAGGTTCCTAATCTCGATTGAGAAAAGCTAGGAGAGCAACAAATGTGGCGTTAAGTGATCTATGTCTTCATCTCTTATGTTTGAAGGTGTTGTGGCTATGAACTTTTTTAACTGTTGTCTGGTTTAGAAAACCTGTGTTTTTTAATATTTTGATCTATTAAACTGAACCTAATAGTTTTATGTTACTCGGCTATCTGTGTTCATGTCTTTCGGATTAATGGTTTTCAGATTCTCGGTTCAGTCACAAACTGACCCGGTTACGCATAATCAAATTAAAAGACTCAATTAAAAGGTTAGATATACATCACATTCAAACATAAAACTATCATATAATACAAATCTAATCATTTGAAACATTTTCTTACAACCAAAACAAAATCCGCGCTTCTCAAGCGCGGGTCAAAATCTAGTAGTTAAATTATATTTAAAATGAAATTTACTAATATTATATATTTTATTATTTTTACTAATATTCAGTATAATTTGATTTAATTAAAACTTAAGGAACAAATAAATTTGTTTATTTTATTATATTTAATAATATATATATAATATATTTAAAATCCAAATATTATAATTTTTTATCTATTTATTTTGCTTAAATGTATTAACTCAGCTTGAATTCATATAAAAACTGTATAGTTATTAAAAATTATAAACAAACAATATTTTTAAAATTTGTCGATATCAAAAAATATTAACGATATTACGATTAAAATATTATTTCTTAAAAAAATGTAGAAAATTTTGAAAATATTAGTAATAAAAATTGTATAATTATAAAAGTAAAATTAAATAACATTTCAAAATTTATAATGCATATTTCAGTACATTTTTTTAGTGATGATTTAATTTATGAGTTATTACCATATTTTAAAAAGTTTACCAAAAATAGAAATCAACATTAAATGTAATGTACCAATTATTACCATATTTTTAAAAATTACCAATAATATATATTAACATTAAATGTAAATGTACATGTCACAATTAACTTCAAGCATTGTCATCATTATTAGTTGACATGTTATCATTTTTTGTGAAATTGATTGTGTTGATGACACATGTCAAAATTACTTCGAAAATAATATATAAGGGATTTAGATCCTCAAAAAACCTAATAGTTTCACATTTAAATAAATTTTAACATGTAATCAAATGTATTTTACCATTTATTTTATAATAGATTAAGTTATTTTTAATTTATGTTTTGTAATAGTTTTTAGATAAAAATTGATTTGATGGCAAAAAAAAAGAGAAAACAAATTATTTTTGATCATCATGTTTTGTTAAAACATCATAAATTTGAAACAGAGCGAATGTAATATTTTTTAAAATGTATTCAAGAGCTCTGCTCATTGCTATTTTTGTGAGGGGACTTGGTTCCTTCTTACTTACACTATTAATTTCTTTATATTATATTTGAATCTCTTAAACGTCATGTAATCTAAGATTTTGTATGACTGAATAAATCTTAGATAAGGTCTGATTTTATATCATAATTTTCCATTTTCAGAAAAAAAGTTACTATCATACCGAATCAATTAAATATTTTTTCCTTGCCAATTGACCTTATATACAATATTTTCTTTTGAAAAGGAAGATTTGTATCACCTTTACAAAGATTTCACCAATCTCAATATACCTCAACGCAATAAACAATTAGATAGACCTGCATCAGTTACTCTATTAATACGCATATTCTTGTTCTTTACTTTCTCCAGAACACTAACAAAGAAAAAAGACCACTAGTCAAAGAAATTTACATTATACCAATAAAATGGGATTATCAAAGCTTCAATTTGTAGTCGTCTTCGTCTTATGTTCTCTTCTAGTTACGTCCCAGTCAAAAGGTGATACGTTTTCTTAAAAAAATTTATAATATCATCTATAGTCATGAATTATATATTTGGAAATTTCTCTTTCCATGTTTTTGAAATTTTTGTTTAATGTTGGTGAATTGATAGATGTACGAGAGAATGCTTATTCACAGTGTGTCTACAAAGGTTCGTGTGTGAGCAACAGAGACTGTAAGAGTCAGTGTGGACCGCCTGAGTTTCCACCGGAGACCATTGGCTTATGCCAACCTAGTCCTAGAGGTCATGGCAACATTTGTTGTTGTGCTAAAGATTAGTATTCTCCGACCAACTAAAAACAAAAACATGTAGTTTTTAACTACTTCGAAATGTAGTTGTTGTGCTGAAGTTTTGTTATAAAAAAAGAAGGAAAGAAGTTTACTACGTTTTTGTATTAAATAATAAAAGAAACATCTACGATGCTTTAGAACATCTATATGCTTTAGAACATTTCTAATATAAAATTTCATTTTTTTTTCTCTAAAATAGAATGAAAGAGAATATTCTAATCATATTCCATATATTACTTCATAATAAAATAATAAATAAATAAAAATAGATTATTCCATTTACGGAGTAAATTCCATTATGAAATCAAAAATGTAGTTAGATTAAAGTGTTGTTTATTCTATATTCACTTTTACCATTTTGGAATCAAAAATGAAATTGCCTTTAATTTAAGTGGAGTCAATATACTTGTTAAGCTAAAAAATAATTATCAGAGTGAAGTCAAGGGGAACTGAACATAGGTTTTTGTGGTTCATTAGGTAGAAGTAACCGACTGAACTACCGATTGATATAAATTTAAACCCAAACCAAAGTTTTTGTTGAATTTTTGTGGTGTCATTTGCCACCACTCTTTACTTAGTATGTCCATCTCTGGTTTGGTTGGAGATGTCTTTAGCACGTATATGTCAGTGGAAATCTATAATGCTTATTTATGATCATGTTAGTTACATTTGGTTTTTTGAATTGAAAATCTATGATGCTTTAGCAGTAATCAATACTAGATCATAACCCGCCCGACTGGGCGGGTCTTTGTTTTAATGTGTATATAAACAATCGAAAATTACAATTCAATTGGTGGATTCCGATTTTAATACTTAAGTACATTGTTTAAACATTTTATTTTTCATTGTATTGTGTAACAGGGGTATTGAATGCCCTTAAGTAAAAGAAAAAAAGGGGTGTCGATGAAATTGTTGTGAGCCGTAAATATTTTAGTAATAGTTTATAAAGTTTTTTTAGCTTCAATTTGGTGCAAAGCTATATTCACTAAATAATTTAGCTCAAATTTCTTTGTTAATATTTTAGTGAAGAATTAGGAGGCTAGTATATGTCTGTAAGAATTTTTAACAATAAAATATATATTATTTTTGATTTATTCAAAACACATTTAAAACACAAGTACATATATATTTTCTTAAATTTCAGAAATTAAGTAATATCAGAAACAGAAATCATAATAATACTTTGGCCATACTAATATTTAGATTAATAAAATTAAGCCCATTAGCCCATTAGGTTTCTGTTAGTTTTTTTTCGGGAAAAACATATATTGTGCTCGTGACCTCTTAAAACGATTTGTGTCAATGAAAACAGAATAAATCTTCAACAACTTTCTCTTTTTCTGAGTTAACCGTCATACATAGAGATCAACGAAGCTTACTACAATAGCCATAGTAGTTTGTCGTCTGTAACAATAGCCATAGTAGTTTTTTTTTTATTGTTAGGCGTAGAGAAATGTTAGGATGATAGAAGACTATTTATTGGTAAGAGGTGAAGGGTGGTTTATATTGGTGCTAACTTTTAGGTATAATGACGATGGAAAGGTATATTCTGATTCCCAAATATGATCAGATCGTTAGCATATTTTGATTTGCAAAAGAGTAAAAATTTAGATTTGCATTTTATCCATGTTTCCAAACAGAATTTTAAGTATTTCTTATCCATGTTTCCAAACACTAAATTTTTGTACTTCAGCTTTAATAGTATAGATGGTAAATAAAATTTGACAACTTTTGTAAAGTTATAAATGAAATTGAAAATTCAAATGAAAAGCTTAATTATGTTGGTCTTTGTGAATACAAAACTTTCCAGTTATAATTCAAATATTACCTAAAAGGCGAGGAAGTTTTCAGCTAGTATGATCAATGTATAATCATTTGTGTGGTTATCCCTTATATAATAAAGCGCAAGTTATATGGCGAGCCAAAGTTTGACATGTGGAATTTGTTTATAATTCAAAAAAAAAGTAATGCAGAAAAATGTAAAACACAATTTAATTTGTTAACTGATTCTATTTCTTTCTGACGTTAAATTTTGACAATGGAACATATGAATAAAGATATCCGACTGAGGCGAGGTCGGCAGCTACGGCTTCATCTCGTCTCGACGAGAGAAACATGATAGTGGTCTTGCATGCGTGAAATTCGCAACGGTTAAAGATATGACCGATTTATTAAACGAACTTGAAACTGAACTTAACTCATGGCAGTTTCCGGTTACCTTTGGCTGCGGTCGATGGTGGTGACAAGCTCGACGTGGCCATGGCGAGCTCCGGCGGTGGCTTAGCCTTGCAAAGATTCCCCAACTCACAACTTCCCAACTCTCTCTCTCTCTTTATCTCTCTCTATCTCTTTTCTTGCAGAAAAATAATAATATGCTGGAGACATGGATATTTATAGCCAAAATTTTGGTTTCCAAGGGTCTTTGCCGGCTAACGAATTCCATAACCTAAAGTTGGGTCGTTACACGTTTCTTCTCTTCAAGCTTTGTAATGTTGACCAAAACTCATTCACTTTCTTTGTAACTCATCGTAAGGAATAATGTTTTTTTTTTTGAAGTAAGTGTGGGTGGAGACAAGAAAGTGTACACAAGACTTGTTTTCTAGAAATTTAATCATCGTTCTTGAATGTGAGTTGTCTAAATATTCCTTTTATTTACTGTCTTTGCTTGTTGGACCATTATAATTGTCAAGTGTGGTAGCTGATATAATATTAAGATGAACCTCTAACTCGCTAGTGTGAGAGAACATATGGAACCTTGTATGGAATGCAACTTTATGCAAGTGTAGTTTAAGTGTCTTTTTAATCTTTTGGAAAAGTTGTTAAAGTTACTAAAAGACTGTGAATGTAATGTTTCTATATAGGTGTTTAAGAGATCTATAGTTAATATTGATATGGACCTCCAACTAGCAAGTTGCTCTCTGATTCACTTCATTGACTTCATCTTTTCAACCAGGCTTACATGGTTATCTCGGAAGATTTGAAATGCTGGGCATCTTTAACAGTATGATTGAGTCTGGCATTATGCAGTTATAGTTTGATGTGAGAGTTTTTCGTCTTTACATTAGCCACATGATGTAAAAAGCTTTTGTCGTGGCTGGGAACTTGATGGTAGCAGGAGCTTTTACTATTAGTTACAAAAATCTTGCGGTTCTTGTCGTTAGCTACACACTGAATCGTATTGTGATTATTTAATATGGCTTTGTTATTTGATGTAGTTTAGTTATTTTTTTCTGTTTGTCATCTTTAATGTTGTTGTTGTGTGCTAAGTAGATTATCAACTAGTGCTAAGAAGTAAGAGCGACTGTTGTTGTGTTCTTGGCTGAGCAGCATTATGTTTAACTGATTGATTCATGGAAGGAATTATGTTGTGTTCTCATCTCTATTGGTCTCTTCTTCTTGCAGGTGCCATGCGCAGGTGTTGATGAAGATCAGAGTCCCGCGGGCATGTACCACCACCAAGGCCTGTGCAAGTGGCGGGTCGAGATTGGTCAGCATTACTAGGGACTGCATCCCCCGCGGGCCTATACCAATTGCCAACACTACAGTTACGGACTTCTTTTCTTAACTGCTTAGAAAAATTCAAAAATTCTAAGGAGGATCACATTGTTACGCTCTTTGATCTCTCTTATCACTTTTCCGTTTCTCTTTTCTTTTTTTTTTTTGAAAGCGTTTTCCGTTTCTCTTCTGCCTAAAAAAGTTAAAAAGATAAGAAACTCAACTTCTCACACCCCAAAACTTTAAACCAGTACAACTGAATCTCCGTGTCTGAAAGTTTCCATTTTTCGATATGGGTATTTTCTAAAGCTCATCTTTTTAGTTTTTAGTTTATGGTCTTTTAATTTGAATTTACCGACCCAAGAATTCAAATTTTCCTTTTCAGTTCTCGTTTCCTTATTAGTTCATAGCTATTAATATAAAGAGGACACGATCTGAGTAGAGAGAAGAAAAAAAAAGAAGAAGAAGAAGATTAACCTAGTTTCTGTAGAGCAAGCAAACAAGCAGTTACGATTATTTTGACGAAGAAGGTGGAGAGGATGAAAACAATTATTGATCTTCCAGAGGTTCTGTTAACAAAGATATTCACTAGGGTTCCATTAATTTCTCTAACATCAGTGCGATCTACTTGCAAAAAGTGGAACACTTTATCGAAAAAGATGATTATTGGTCAAGCAGCAGCAAGGAAGCAGCAGCAGTTAATTACGGGATTCGTGATAAAGGATAACAGGGTTTGTTTTATGAAATTCAATCTCCAAGGAATTCGCATCTACCAAAACTCTGTTCATCCGTATAGCAATGAACAAGTAAGTATACTTGGCCAAATCGACATATCTAAAGTCATTCACTGTGACGGCTTATTACTATGCGTCACCAAAGACGAGCTATTGGTGTGGAATCCCTATTTAGGACAGACGAGGTGGATCCAACACAGAACAAAATTCCTTGGGTTCGAAACTTTGTCCTTGGGATATGACGACAAGAAGAACCGTAATCACAAAATCTTGAGGTTTCGCTTTGTTCCTCTGCCAGGGTTAAGCAACTCCATCGTAGGGTTCGAACTCTACGATTTTAGCTCTAATTCATGGAAGGTTCTTGACGTCACTCCTCCCCAATGGGGGATAAGGCCTTGTCGACATTACTGCGTGTCTCTCAAGGGTAATGCTTATTTTGCTGCAGTGGAAAGAAGACAAGTCTCATCAAGGAGTGTTGAAGAAGATTTTTTAGTCTGTTTTGATTTCACAACCGAGTGCTTTGGACCGCGTCTGCGTCTTCCTTTTGACACTGGCGATTGTTTTGGAGTTCTGGTGTCTCTCTCTTGTGTTAGAGATGAGCAGCTCGCGGTCTTGTTTCAACGCAGGGAGACGCATGAAAAGATTGATATTTGTATTACGACTAAGATTAGTCCTAATTCCGTTTCCTGGACTAAACTTATGGTAGGGGTCACGGGTTTTATGCTTGACATTTATGGTGGGAGTTTTTTCATCGACGAGGAGAATAAACTTGCTGTGGTTTTTGATCTAGACAGGAGATCTAGGCTCCAAACAGCTCACATCATTGGAACAGATTATGGATACTTGAAATCTGTTGATATCAGTGATGCTCCAGCCGATTCCCCACTTGTCTACTCTTCATATGCTCCAAGCTTAGTTCAACTGCATTAATTTGTGTTTTGCCCTTTCTCATATTTTTAAACTATTCAGTGTCTCGAATATATGCTTCATATATAATATTTTTTAGGTGGTTTACACTCTGATTGTTACTTTTTTTTTTCTTCATATTTTTGCATTTGGTTTTATGTTCAGAGAATGAGAAATTAAAGAATCAGTACCACATGTTTTTATTTTATTTAATTTTTTGAAACACAACAAACTTTCATTAATGCAAATTGGTTAGGCAGCAGCTATTACATCTTCCACAGCTAACAAAACCTTTTTTTCTATTCTAACTGGACTGCAATATGTTTTTTTCTCTCATGAGATTCTATTCAAAAGAGATACACTCAAAGCAATCCAATCATAAACAAAATATCAGCTATAACTCCATGATGGTATTTCCTTCATTGATTGGCATCTGACTTCTTTGATACCCATAAGTCTGCAAAACCGAGGAGCCTCTCTAAGCGCTAGAACCTGCAACAAGAGCAGAGTTGGTGTAACCACATACTCCTGTATTTTAATTTGATACATATTTTAGTTTTTTCACACTTATTTAAAAAATATATAATAAATACATAATTTTTGTAATTATCTTTTTCCCATAAATTTAAACCAATAAAAATTCAATAAGTACAACCAATTTATTGAAATTTGAAATTAATCTTTATTAGTTAACTAAACATGCATTGAAAATATAAAAATACATCTTTTTGAAATAATTGTTTTTTTCTAAAATATATAACATAATGAAATAGAGGAGTGTGTTATAAATCAATTAAATGATTCTTTACCTTTCAATACATTTTTCTACTCACTTTCGTTAAAAGAGTAATTTAATGTTTTAAAATGAAAAAAAAAATATCATTTAAATCATTAATTTCCAGTTATGTTGAAATAAAGCACTAACTTTTCGGTAAACAAAAAAAAACACTAAATTTTTATTGACAAGTCATTGTAATCATTAATTTTCGATTTTAGTCATCGTTAGTTAATAATTATAGTTGACTAACAGTGGACCTAAACTAGCTTTTAAAGTTGATGATTTTTTTGACACAAATATAAATCAACATTTAAAAAAAAAAAATCTATATACTCTTTATACAATCTTATTGGATTATGTTTTATAATTTTACTGTCAAATTTTTTTTGGTGAAATGTTAATTCAACATTTTATTCTCAAATGGAAAAAGTTATCGATTGATGGATTCTATATGATTCTTTTTGTTTATAATAAATATCTTCAAAACAACATTTATATAATTTCTATAAAATGAGTTACACAATTCCTTCTGCATTTTAATGAAAACAATTTCACTAAAAACTGTTAAGATCCAAAATGTCGCTATATGATTAGTATTATGAAGAATATATATATATACCACTATTTTTGTTCTTTTGAGAACAAGAAAAAATGTATTACTATTTTCTAAACAAAATTTAAAATTTTGACAATAAAATTATGAAACATAATCCATTTAGGACTATATGAATAGTTACAAAGTGACATAATTATCATAAATAGTTATTAAAGTTCTGTATAATTATTTAAAATTGTTTAAATCAATCGGATTCGGTTTGGATTTTCGGGTTCGTTTTTTTGTCTAATTCTAATTTTCACCTCAATCCCATAGGCCCAAGTGAAAAGGATATGATAGTATTTTGTCTAGTTTTCTTACAAAAATGGCCTTGTTGATAGATAAATGCTAGTTGTTTCAATTGTCATCAAATTAAAGATTAGTTAATTGTTTGGTCTTTGATTAATGGATTTATATGCAGTTACGTGCCAACTTGTACACTATTTAGTCTCTTGAATCATGTGGTAAACGAACATTATGCGAGCTTTTCAAATTCTAATAGTTAAATAAACAATCTAATTAACTATGTAAGTAGTTTTTAATATAAGATTAGCTGTTATATCTACAGTCTAGGCCTAACCCAACCACAAGAAAGACAGAGAGAGAGAGAAAAACAAGAAACAGAACAAGGATGACGAAAACACTGTTACTGGTGTCTTTGTTGCTCTGCAGCTTTATCATCGATCTTGAAGCTTCACACCAAGATCTCAACCAACCGTACCGGACCGGTTATCACTTTCAACCTCCCAGTAATTGGATGAACGGTATGTACCGTACCGATCTTGATCTGATTTCTATTCACCTGTGTGTATTTGATCCTCTAATTTACATCCTATTATTTTTCTGTTGATTGCGTTATGTTCGATGATAATCTGATGCAACAATGATCTCCAGATCCTAATGGTCAGTTCTCTTTATCAGATACTATTTTATATTTTTGTAATATAATTTATTAAAAATACGTATATGTTTTTTTTTGCTAGGACCAATGGTATACAAGGGGATATATCATCTTTTCTACCAGTACAACCCATACGGTGCCGTCTGGGATGTAAGAATCGTGTGGGGTCACTCCACGTCACTTGATCTAGTTAACTGGACCCCACAGCCACCAGCTTTCAGTCCATCTCAACCGTCAGATATAAACGGTTGTTGGTCAGGCTCCGTCACGATTCTCCCCAACGGCACACCGGTGATCCTCTACACCGGCATTGACCAAAACAAAAGTCAAGTCCAAAACGTCGCCGTTCCGGTTAACATCTCCGATCCATATCTCCGGGAATGGTCAAAGTCGTCGAAAAATCCTCTGATGGCTCCTGACGCCGTCAATGGAATCAACCCCGACCGGTTCCGTGATCCGACCACCGCGTGGATCGGACACGACGGAGAATGGAGAGTCATCGTCGGAAGCTCGACGGACGATCGTCGAGGGTTGGCGGTTCTTTACAAGAGCAGAGATTTCTTCAACTGGACGCAAGCGACGAAGCCTCTTCACCACGAGGAGTTAACCGGAATGTGGGAGTGTCCTGATTTTTTCCCGGTTTCGTTAACCGGAACTGACGGTGTGGAAACGTCGTCGTTTGGTGAGGTGAAACACGTGCTGAAAGTGAGTTTGATAGAGACGTTGCATGATTATTACACGATCGGGAGTTACGACCGTGAGAAGGATGTTTATGTTCCGGATCTTGGGTTTGTGCAAGATGGTTCGGCTCCGAGGTTGGATTACGGGAAGTATTACGCGTCGAAAACGTTTTACGATGATGTTAAGAAGCGAAGGATCTTGTGGGGTTGGGTTAATGAGTCTTCACCGGCTAAGGATGATATTGAGAAGGGTTGGTCTGGTCTTCAGGTAAAATTTACTTTCCCCTTGGTTAATTTGTGACCGTCCGATCGAGTGAAATCTGGTAAACCGGTTTATTTTCGTAATTTTAACAGTCATTTCCAAGAAAAGTTTGGCTCGGTGAATCGGGAAATGAGCTGCTACAATGGCCTATTGAAGAGATTGAGACCTTGCGTGAGACACAAGTCAAATGGGACAACGAGGTTCTTAAGGCAGGATCTGTTCTTCAAGTTTCTGGTGTCACTTCTGCACAGGTAGGAATCGATCCTTAACATTGATGATTCATCCACATCTAATAAGAAGCGATATTTAGTTTTGACCTTGGTTATAATTGATTTATTTGGAAAAAAAAGAAAAAAAATAATTGATTTATTTGTTATTGAGCAGGCGGACGTTGAGGTATTTTTCAAAGTGAAGGACTTGGAAAAAGCGGATGTGATTGAACCAAGTTGGACTGATCCTCAAAAGATATGTAGTCAGGAAGATTTATCGGTTAAGTCCGGTTTAGGGCCATTTGGTTTGATGGTGTTGGCCTCAAATGACATGGAGGAGTACACATCAGTTTACTTCAGAATCTTTAAATCAAATGATACGAATAAGAATACTAAGTATGTAGTGCTGATGTGCAGTGACCAAAGCAGGTATATGATCTCTATACATCAATTAAAAGACACATTGAGAGTATCTACATTAACTGCTATTTTTTTTGTTATGTCACTCGCATGCAGATCTTCGTTGAATGAAGAAAATGATAAAGCAACGTTTGGTGCTTTTGTGGCAATAGACCCTTCACAGGAAACACTTTCTCTTAGGACTTTGGTAAGTTTTTTAGTACATAAAAAGATATGATCTCATACAAGTGTCTTGTACCACGTATACATAAATAGAAGCATCAAGCATCATAATACAGAAATGATGAGTGTTTTTCTATGACTTTCTAGATTGATCACTCTATAGTGGAGAGTTATGGTGGAGGAGGCAAAGTATGTATAACTTCAAGAGTGTATCCGAAACTGGCAATTGGAGAAAATGCAAATCTCTTTGTCTTCAACAAAGGAAATCTGAGTGTTGATGTCTTGAGCTTAAGTGCTTGGAGCTTGAAATCTGCCCAAATCAATGATGAGTCAATGTCACCATTCATCCAATATGAAGATTCACACTCACTTAACCAGTCTTGATTATTCTTTAGTAAAACACATTTTACATTTTATGGGGAAAACACAAAATAATCATTCCCCACAATTTTAGCATTCAATTGAAAATTCGGAGTTTTTTTTTGTGTATGTATTATGTATGTTATTCTTCATTGAAACACAGGACTTTTAAAATTCCCGGTCAAGTAAAACAAGATCCCTTAGATATGTACCAGACCAGTCTTGAGCCAACCCGAATGAAACATTCGTACCCTCAAATTTATAGAAAAAACTTTTCAAATATATTAAATTTTTTAACTAAATATTTTACTAAATAGTCTACCGCCTCAAAAATCTTAAGGCCGATTTGATGAAGACTGCTTTGGAAGAAAAACGGTCAGGTTTCTCCATACTAATTTGTGCTTATCTTCAGAGCCGGCCATAGGCCCAAGCAATAGAAACAATGGCTTCCGGGCGTCATTTAATGTCAAAAATATCGGCCACATATTTTCAAAAATGTGTCTTTAGAGTAGTGGTTGTACTGCCCTTTCTACATGTTCTCAAACCCGGGTTTGAAGGCCACCCGTAACATAATTTTATTTTCGGCCATTTTTCCATTTTTGGCTTCTAACCCTAAAAAGTCTAGGACCGGTTCTGTTTATCTTTTTTTTTTTGTCGGCGACCCATTCTATCTAGATCAAGTGGTAGTTATACGGGTCGATCCTCCGTGGAGTACCTCCGAGTGACCTGGTCTGATCTATATGGGAAAATATATATCTTTTTCTCCTTGCTTCCTTGGCTAGTGCGTCCGCTCGATGGTTCTGCTTATCTTTATTAATCATTCTTTCTGTTGAAGAGCCACTACTTAAGAATCCCAGATTCTGCATTATTTCATCATATAGATACGAAAACAGTTTTTCCAAGAGTTGGAAAATGGAAACACATTTGTAATACACTTGTTGAGTTTCATGTTACAAAAAAACAAGCTTGCAAGTGTTTCCTAATCTTGTTATATATATCGGAACACCATCACGCCTACAAGTCCCGGCCCGTAGATCATTAAGGCCCATTAAATGTTAACAGAAGATTATCAAAACGACATCGTCTCTAGCTTAGCCACGTACAAAATTCTCCGTACCAATAGACTTCAAAAGCAAGCCGATTGAAACAAAAAGGTTGAAGACGATCTCCGCTCTGCAACACAAGAGGTTTCCACTCTTTTCTTTCTCTTCAGAGTGTTCTTTTCCCTATTTCAATCTCTATGCTATCTTCTTTAACTGTTAAATACTCAATTTTAGTCTGCTGATAAGTACGAAACACATATATGTTCAATTGTCAATCACTATTGACGCTGCGATCAACCCAAATCTAAATTGATTCCATCGAGGTTTAGCTCGATTTCGATTCCGTTGATCTGGTAAAACCCTAATTATTCTCTTACTTCTGGAGAAACGCATTTTTTTTCTGGTTGATCCCAAACTTACATTGATGTAATCGCGCTGGATGATTGATTCCAACAAAGTGACGTCGTTTTGTAAATTTTGAGAGTTGACTCAGTTGAGTAACTGTAAAGTTTGCTGTTTTGAGGTTTATCTTTTGTCTCTTTACTTCAGAAATGTCAGGAAGAGACCGATATCACCGAGAGGTTCAAGACCCTTACCATGATCGGCGTCGTTTTACTCCCGAGAGACCATTCCTCCGAGCCCCTCCACCTCCATCACTGTTGGAAGATCTTCAGATACAGGAGGCTGAAATCCGGAGGCTTTTGGGTGATAACCACAGACTAGCTGACGACAGAATGCTTTTGGAGAGAGAGCTCGTTGCAGCTAAAGAAGAGCTTCACCGTATGAACCTGATGGTTTCTGATCTCCGTGGTGAACAAGATCTGCAGTTGAGGGAGTTCAGTGAGAAAAGGCATAAACTTGAGGCGGATATCCGTGCTATGGAGACTTATAAGAAGGAGGCTGCGCAGTTGCGTGGTGAAGTTCAGAAGCTGAGTGAGATTAAACGTGAACTTAGTGGTGATGTTCAGATACTTAGGAAAGATTTGGTGAAGTTGCAGTCGGATAATAAGAAGATTCCGGGTTTGAGAGCTGAGGTTGAGGATTTGCAGAAGGAGCTTATGCACGCTAGGTTTAAGATTTGAGCCTTTTATTACTAAATGATGTTTGGTTTCGGTAGTAAATGCTGAAAGGAATTGTTTTTTCTTTTGGAACAGAGGTGCTATTGACTATGAGAAGAAGGAAAAGTTTGAGCTTATTGAACAGCGGCAGACAATGGAAAAGAACATGGTTTCTATGGCGCGTGAAGTTGAAAAGCTACGAGCAGAACTTGCTACTGTTGATAGTAGGCCGTACGGTTTTGGTATGACTCTCATTGGGTCTGTCCTGGATACATTTTGGTACTTCCATTAAAGTGGCTAACTGCTTTGGTGTGATATGTTACGTGTCCAGGTGGATCATATGGGATGAATTTCAACAATATGGATGGCGCTTACCGTGGTTCTTATGGAGAAACCGATGGTTTTCTGGTACTCATGCTTGATAATGTGGTTTATTTTTCTTGTGAACTTGTACTTTGACACGCCATATTACTTTGCTTGTTTCTTAGGGATCTACGGAAAGGAGTCAATATTTCAGCCATGGGTCTGGCTCACAGAAGAAACCTCGCTTGGATCGTCACTGAATCTTATAAACGATCTTGGGAAAATGAAAATGAGGTGAGTCTGTATAGGCCACTTTGAATCAGAACGATAGTTCCTCTGCTCTCTCAATAAGGCATTTTAATTATGTAAGTTAGATGGCTAAACTATACCGTATGTTTCTATAATTCAATGATTTGGTTTTTCCTGTTATCCTTTTATCCCTCTTACTCTGTTGCTCGCATCCTTTACTCTCCGGCTTTGATTGTTTGTAAATGATATTCCCTTAGATAGAAATCTCAGAGGAGTATGCCCTTGTGCCAGTAAGTTTGAGAAAACATACTGGCATTAACAAAAGGAGGGGAATGTCTGTGACATTCTTCTCTTTGTGCTTCAAGCTCACACACCTTCCTTCTGTTGTATTTTTATTTATAAAGATCTGGTGAGCTAACCTAACCCCCTTTCTAAGGGGTTAGAGACTTTAAATACTTGGTGTAAAGAGAGATTTGAGCGAACTAGTTGTTTGTGGCCACATTTTTGGGGAAATTGTCGAATTGCTTGTTTACGGAAGCTAAAGGAGATAGCTGTACCACATGTATTTTGTTTTTGCGTGGTGGTGTTATGTAATGTTCTACTAGATTTAAAGTATATAGGAGAAACTCAGTTAAGATGAAGTGGAAACTGCAACCATGGTAGCACAACAATAGTGGAGAAAGAGGAACATATTGATCCTTTATGGCCATCGAAGCCTGATAACCAGCTTCTTGGAACTCGTTCTGCGATCCGCCAGTCACCCCCTTCTAGGATCAGGCCAGCAAACTTCTATTAGCACTAGCAAAAGCCACGTTTGAGGGTCATCTGGATCAACGTTAGTGGAATTTTTCTTTCAGAAAAACACCGTAAGGATTGGTTGAGCAAGGTCTTACATTTGAGCGATCAGCGTCCTACCTTCTACTGCATCTGGACGTGCTGGAAGTGGTTTTGGACTTGGTCGGAATTGCAGGACCCTACTGGCCACGTACATCTTCTGATGGATTGGGAAATTATACAGCTGGCCTCTACCATCAGAAACCTTGTGTACCATTAAGTGCACCAGATATTTCACGGTTCTAGCTAATGGAAGAAAGGTACATGGGTAGCTGAATCCTAATTTCATAGGTTGAATATCATTCGGAACAACATAAAATGAGTTCAGAAGCTAGGAGGCTGGGTGAAGATTATAACTAATGGATGACAGATGGATATATAGAAGACATATCAAAGGGACGTTTTACGGAGTTGCTTCACCAGAGACATGGTAATCAATCTACAGAGTCATGGGAGTCCTCATCAGCTTTTGGTACTCCTGCTGCATTTACTGATGAGCGGGCCAACAAGCTACGAACTTACAGTGAGACGGGAATTATCTGCCTATATCTGTGCTTCTGGAAATATTGCAGCTGGACAGACACTGATAACGATTCTGTTAGGACAGCATTGATGAAATGTGCAGAAGTGCTCCTTATTCGCCTGAAACGTCCAGAGTAGACATTCTGATGCAGAAGATTATTTCTTATTTTTGGAGCTTTCACGATGAGCAAGAGAGAAAATCTTCGTTCAGGTGCAGTGTGGCAAAATAAGATAAGTTGGATTTTACGGTGGTGCATCCTATAATTAGCTGCTACTTTTGGGTTCTAGTAGTTGACTGAAGAGATAAAGAGCTCTGTCTTCGAGGCGGCATAAGCTTCAAAGTGCCTTTTGCCTTCAGCGAAGAACTTTTCCATTTATCAAGAGATCGTCAGTGGCCTTGTAGATTATGTTGATGGTACATCAGTTTTTCGATTTGCACTTTCCAAGGATGTTGGTGTGCGTCACAAATAAAGATCTTCCAACAAGCCAGGTATACGATCTTCCCAAGAAAACTTCGCTTACGAGAAAGTTTATTTATATAAGTTCTGGTTATGTCTTCTTAAGGTTAGCTATGTTTTGTTTGGCATATAGGTCCTCATATATGTCTAAAGTTTTTGCATATAACCCATTCATTTTTTTGTTTCTCTGTGTCCGCAATATTATTTTTACCAAATAAATCTTGGATTCTCTTTACTGCTGTGGTGATAGAGGTTGAATCAGTCATTTTATTTTCTAGAGGATTTGTGAGACTTGCGTAGATTTCACATTAGAATGTTGATAGAAATGAATTGCTGGACTGATGGACAAGTAGCTGTTCTTGAAGATGGTTCACTACATTAGTCTCTGGTGTTCCGTGGAAGAAAAGTTCTTAAGAATCGAGTGGACAGGATTATCTTAATTATGTGAAGTTTCTGGAGGCTACAAGAGATCTATAGATAAGAATAAAGGCAAAGCTTTTGTAGATGAGAAAAACATAGGATCAGCTCACTTAAGCCTGGAGTTGAGAGCTACTGATGTAGTTATAATAAAGGAAAACCTTTGAAGCTTTTGGGATTAGCTTATATTGATCTGAAAGTAGATCGGTGTAGGTTTGATCAGGATGAAAGATTCTACCCGATATAAACCTATATATAACTTTGTCCCCTCTTGCTTTTCCGAAGACTGAGAACCTGTGTTATAAAAAGAACGCTTAAATAAGGCAAGGCTATGTCCTAGAGGAAAGCCCCTTAAGCGCAACAAAGGCGCGGCATCAAGTTTCTGGTGCCTCCTATGAGTTGAATCTCGTCATTGAGGCTTTAGGTGTCTTGGGTGCGTTGTTGGTGGTAGCTTTGTGCATTGAAGAATCAAATCTAGATGTGAATGGGTCAGGCTCACTTGTGCTGCATATCGAGTCTGTACTGGATAGAGAGAAAGCGTTTGTTATTGCTGTTGAATGAATCAAAGCGGGAGAAGCTGTTGGAAGAGGAGTAATCGTGTGCAGCAGGTGCTTGGGACAGAGTCGAACATGAAGAGACTCACGGGAACAAGTTGTCTGAACGGATTTCCACCAAATCAGACGTGCTGTAAGCAGGAGTGCCTGGGACGAAGTCATCTAAGAAGTGTTTCTTTTCAGTAAACACTAATCCATAAGGCGGCCTACATCTTGAGAACAGTTTACCCTCCTGTGTCCTTATCGAGGACAGATGGAACTCTAGTGGATCTGTATTCTCTGCAGATCAGCATGTTAAGGTAGAATAGAGTTGTTACTCTGGATCTGCAAGACAATTGCTACAGAACTGCAAAGATTCAAGCTTCTAATAATGAATCTTCTCAGAACAATACATGGTGCAGGAAGCGAGATTTAAGGTCAGCCATTTGATGAGCGTGGACACGAATAATTAAAGGATGCTTTTTCAAGCTCCATAACCGTTCCACCCTCTTAGGCATATGTGTATAGATATTCCATCTTCTGTATCATGTAGCATTTATAGGCTTTGCATGAAATTTTCTCTATTAAAAAGCTGCTGTATTTTGGTCTTTACAGGTTTTGATTATTCCTCTCCTCGTTGCAGGAAACAAAGCTTGAAGAGGACAGACCTCGAGGCCAATTATCTACTAGTTGGAACAGAAATGGTTATAGTAGAAAAAGCAGTAAGTATGTCAACCTCTATTATATGCACTTATTATTATCTTCTTTTTTTTTAATTGAAATGCACTTATTATCATAATCAACAAATTGAAAGTTAATTATACATATACATTTCAAGTTATGATTCTGATCCTGATGTTTACTTTCAGGTTGTTAGTACCGGAGGCAACATCTTGGACCTCTTCCCTTTCACCAACGTCTTGGTATCAGGAAAAACTCCGTTCCCAATCTCCTCAACCGCACCATCCTTTGTCACGCTAATGGGGTACGCAACCAAGTGGACACCGTTCATGTCAACGACCTTGTCTCCACTGTAAATGTCCCACATTTGCTCCCCAATTGTCCTTAACCCTCGGACGCATTCAAGTCTCTCCGGCTCCGAGAAAGATAACTCATCCACTGTGATCTGGCCACCTGTATGCTCGTACCAGAGCGACAACCGGTAAGTTCGAATTTCATTGGTCTTGGTTGTATCTGTTTGGTAGCAACCTATTGCAATCTCGGTGTCACGACAGCCGTCCATTGATCTCTGGTTTATGTTGGCTGATCCTATTAAAACATATGCGTCGTCCACTACAAACACATTAAACAATAACAGTATTAATGAAAAATTCTTCACTTTTGTTTCAGGTTAGGAGTTGAACCAAACCTATCATGATCTTGGAGTGGACATAAACCATGAATCTCCTGCTCCTCTGTGCGTTCCAGTACTGTGTTTTTGGATGCGGTGACGAAACTGCTTCATACTCTCCGTCTCTCTTCTCTTCTCTGTTTGCGAGACAGAAAAAGTTTAAGTAATCCCTCGGATGCGACCCGTCCCCAGTTTCCCTTATCGCCTCTCCTATGATTCGATACATCATTGACATTGTCTCTCGCGTCCAATGCAACATCTCTTCGACGGTTTCGCTCTCTGGTGGACCTTCAGGCCACATTGGCATCACTATATACACCGCGAATCTCTCCTTCACGCGTATCTTAGCTGCAATCTTTAAGGCTATTTCAATCGGTATCAAGTTTGTGCATCCACTTCCGTTCTTGCTCTCCCAATGCTCGCAGCTTCCCATGAAATACTGATTCTCAATGTAAATAAACCTCTCTGCTTTCCGAATGGCTGCAACGTAGCCGTCATGTACACTCCTCTCAGTCTGTAAGCCTCTTGGCATCTCCGTTGCCGAGACATGATCTATCGATCTCAGAACTTGAACATTCCATTTCCTGTCGTCTTCTTCAGTGGTCTCTGGTCCGGTTCTGTTTACTAAGTTTCTTATCCCTGAGGTGTTGACCAACACAGAAGGGTTACACTGTTTCGTCCATCTCTGTTCAAAGTTCTTCAAAACATCCCATGCTGCAGCCCCGACCACGCACACGTGACAATCATGCCACGGCTCTCTTGGTCCGCCTCTGCTTAGCTTAGCTCCAGCAAGGCTTGTTTGATAAAAATCATCGCTTATCCCGAGTGTACGAAACAGAGAATGCTCCTCTGTGTCGTAACGACCATCGCAGAGGTCGAAACCACCGAGGAAGCTCATGATCTCTCGCTCTTTCGTGTTTGTATTCGTTACACGTGTGTCCACCGTGATGGTCTTTTGGTGGTGTGCGAAAGCCGTAGGGAGCTTCTTGTGCGATCTTGGACACAATCTACAGACAACACTCGTGTCTCTAAAGTAAGCAAGAGCTGTTTGGTCGTTTGTTCGCATTACACCTTTGTTCTTGATCATCGGTAGAGACGACTCGTCGTTCCATAGCATCACTCTCACCGCTACACCTTCATGTGCTTTCCGTTTCAGAAGCTCACCGATTGTTACTCCCACTGCGTGTGGAATCTCTGTCTCTTCATCACGTACGAGAACTAGATTAGGGTTTAATGCCCATCCTGCGATGTAGACTAAGTGCCTAGCGCAATCAATCGCTTTGTAAATGTCTTCCCATAGATTTCTTGCGTTACAAGAAACATCATGAACCCTAGGATCAAACGTGGCTTTATGGTGCGCGTCTTGGTACAATACAACTCTGCAATTCGATCTTTGCGGGAAGCTCGCGTTCTTAATACCTTGAAAAGGCTCTCCTTCAAGTGTTTTGCACCATCCTGGTTCTAGATAAGCTGGTCTGAACCACATCATACACTTGAGCTTCAAGTTAGGTTTCGTTGATCCATTATTTGTAGTCAGAGGAAAGCACCCGTTGACAATTGCTGTATTAGAAGTAAGAATCTGTTCTGCAGAGATCCGGAATCTTCCGAGAACAGAACAGTGAGTCTTGAGCGTGATTGTGATGGCCGTGTCGGAAACAGGATGTGCGCAGAGGATCTGAAAAGTCTGGTTCCAGACACGGTCGTGTTCTGTGCTTGTTTTAGCAACTTTCTTTTTGTTTAGCTTAATGGTCACGTAAGCTGGTCTTGGCTTGGTACATATACACTGCGAATAAGATAACAAATATCTCATGAGAATAAACACAAATGTTATTGATAACATTAACATACTTACATTGAAAGGAAATGTAGGAGAAAATGGTGTTGCGTCAAAGACTGTAATCTCGAGTGTTCCATGGAAGAACTTCTGTTCTTCAAGCTCCATCTTCTCTCTTTATACAAAAATTTATCTTCAAGAGTATGGGAGAAAAGTTTCTGCGAATCTCAAATATGTGTTGAAGCTGGTGAATTGCATTATGCACAAGGAAGTGCCAATGTGTATTTATATATGCTTTTGGTAAAACTTATAGGATTCTCCATGGACAATCTTAAAGAAAACATTCAACAACACATTTTATATATATGTTACAAAAAGAATTGAAGTGTCTTGGAATACAAATCAAGCATTCGACTTTAGTTTAACACAGCTAATTTTAAAAGCAACGTATTGAAATTTGAAATGTATCCAAATATAAATTTTGATATCTATGGTGGTCTCTGTAAATAGTAAATACTATGTGGAAGATGAATGATGGATCTGTCTGCTTCTTTTGTGAAGAACGACTAATGATTTTGTATGCTGGCCAATAATTAATCCTAGAACCTAAATTATAGTAGACTGAACTAATACTTGTATGAGTTTAATTTCAGTTATACTACGATTCTACGAAACAGAACATACCAACTCGTTTTTTTAAGAAGAAAATGTTATTATGTATGTAGATAATATAAACACAAGTGAATTTTATAAAACAAAAAGATAAATATTTGAAAATATATATGGAATTGTTTTTTGTTTTCTTTCATTCAGATATATACCGTTAATATATCACAGTAATATATAGCATGCATGTATTTATTTATTTAGTTATGTTATCTGTACTTTTTAATGATTTTGTCTATATATGTCATTTATTTTATAATAAATCTCTTTTTCTATAGCTCTTCAACTTCTCTCTCACGCGTGAAACGAAATGACGAACTACGGCTCCATTCCGACGTCGTCTCATCCATCACCGCCGATTGATCTCGAGTACATCTCACGCGCGAAACACCGCATCAAATCAGGTCTCGCCACGCGCCGCCCATGGAAAACGATGTTCGATCTCCAATCACTGAACCTCCCCCACGGCTTCTCCGACGCGATCTCGAGAATCAAGACGAACCTCGTCCACTTCAGAGCCAACTACGCCGTCGTCGTCCTCGTGATCCTCTTCCTAAGCCTCATCTACCACCCGACCTCGCTCCTCGTGTTGGCCGTCTTGGCAGTCTTCTGGATCTTCCTCTACTTCCTCCGCGACGAGCCTCTCGTGGTGTTTCGTCACCAGGTGGATGATCGGACGGTTATGATCTGTTTATCGGTTTTGACTGTTGCGATGCTTTTGTTTACTCGCGCGACGGTGAATGTTCTCGGGGCGGTGGGGACGGGTGTGGTGTTGGTTGTGGTACACGCGGCGGTTAGGAGGAGTGATGATTTGTATCTTGATGAGGATGCTGCGGCCGAGAGGGAAGCTTCAGGGCTGACGTCATACCCTTAACCGAATCATTTTTTTTTTATTAATGTTACTGTGTGAATGAGATGCTTTTTGGAAATGTTGGTTTCTAGTCTACTCTGTTTAGTTGTGTACAATTTGTTCTACTCTGTCTTAGTGATAATCTTGGAGAAGTGTAACATTTTCCAATTTTGTGTAGTAGAGAGACTCAAAAGAAGTGATATTTAGTTATCTGTTGTACTTATATTTTTTTGTCTAGAACTGTTTTCGAATTGTGTTTTGAAGTAAAAGTAAGAACTAGTGATTTATGGGAGATCTACGAGCCAGACTATAGCGGACATGATAAATCCATTAGCAATTAGTAGTCGTGGATGGTCGAGAGGTGTTCTGGATGTTTCAAGAATGATTCAAAAATGAACATGTCTCAATGATAATCTTGAAAGTGTGAACTTTGTTATTTTATGGATACCTACTATGATATACTAGTGGTTGGTACTCATGAGTAATTAGTGTATATTGTTACTATTTAGGGTGCAAGTCACTCCTTTTTACTTACAAGTAGCTACTTCTTCTCCATCATCAAGCTTAGTGTTTTTTTTTTTTTTTTTTTTCCATTAGCAAAGCCTTTTTTAGTAGATACTTGAACATCTGTTTTCCACAGAACTTGCTGGGAGATATCCTCTTTGATGACCAAAGATTCATCCACTGTGAAAAGTAGAGCTTATGTTATGTACCCTTGGTGCCCTGCTCTGCTGGCTCTTTTCAGTTGCTACTAATCTTTTTAACTAAAAATTTGATACGGCGTCGTATGGATTAATCTGCTTTATTTTGGATAGTCCTGTCCAGCCACTGGTTTAACCCGACCCGACCGGTAAAGAGCCGGCCACTCAACAGACAGAACCCATCTTTAAACCCTAAAACTGTCCGATCTCAATCTGAAAACCTGCTCTCGCTAGTTCCGATGGCGTCTTCGAAAGTGTGCAGCAGATTATCGTCAAAGATACAGTCTTTAACCCAGAAGCTAAGCAAGAAGAATGTGCACGTCTCCTCCATACCCTCTCCCATCAAGTCTTCATTACCATCCTCACCCACTTCCCGTCTCATTCCTTCTTTTAGGTCACTAAACCCATCTTCCTCCTCCTTTAATACATACTATCTTTCTCTTTTCCGGTTTGATTGTATTTACTACAAAAATGGGTCAATGCTCTCTCTGTAGTAAATGTGTTGAGTTTATAGTTAAAAGTTTTGCATGTAGCGAACTCTTAAAATTGGTTTTGATTGTCATAATCTGAAATGGGCTGCAAAAAAAAAAGAACTCATCTTTTTTAAAAATGGGGTTTGTTTTTGTAACAGAGTACCTGTGGAGTTGAGTAGCTGTGTGTCTCTGTTTCCACTACACAGTGCTATTGCATCTTCCAGACTAGTATCAAGTCTCTCTGCTGAATCCATGAGCTGGGGTTTAGTTCCTCAAGGTCACTCTTTTGTCTATTCCCCTTCTCTTTCTCCATTGAAGTTTATACTGCTTTAACAATTTAGCTTGGGTTACACACTTACACTTGCACCTGATATCAAGAAGATTCGCATTCTGCTGTCTCTGAATCTTTAGACTTTTATCTTTGATCCTTAATAAGTTTTATAGTTTTAGCCTGATAGATTTATATTTGCTTGCTTATTATCTGCATTTTGTGAATATCCATGAGTATTTAGGATCTTAGATTCACAGATTTGGCTCTTATCATCCATGCTTTCAACTGTACCAAATAATAGCTCTTGTCTACTTTTACATTATTGGTTTCTTACTTGTCATGAAAAGCCTACTTATGTTGATTGATAATTGTTGGCTTTTGTGTGTAGTTATGGTTAACTTGTAGTAGGAGCTTTAGTTTCATTATTACCAAGTTTCTTACTTGTTATGAAACGCTTACCTGTAGTTATTGACATTGTTGTCTTTGAAGAATGAGGACCTGTTACACTTGTACCTGAGATCAATACGATTCACGTTCTGTTGTTTCTTAATGTTGAGAGTGCATCTTTTATCTTGGATCTGTTAATTTTTAAGTTTTAGACATCGCTTTTCTCTATAGTTTTAGGGAAGTCCTAGTTTTAGTCTGATAGATTTATATTTGCTTGCTTATTATTTGCTTGTTATGAGAAGCTTACCTTTGGTGATTGAATTGTTGTCTTTGTGTGTGCTTATGGTTTACATGTAGTAGAAGCTTTAGTTTCATGATTACTAGGTTTCTTACTTGTCATGAAAAATTCTACCTGTGGTTATTGATACTGTTGTCTTTGTGTGTACTTATACTTGCAATAGGAGTTAAGTTTCATGATTACTAGGTATCGTTCAATACTTTGGCATATTCATCTGAATCAAGCATCACTTGTATCATATTGGGTTATATTTTGATATGAACGTCTTCTCTAGACTAGACTCTAGCTCAATACATCTAAAAGTTGACTTTTTTTCTTAATCTGACAATTGCAGGTATTTCAATGCCTTTATGACAGTATTTCATCCTACAAACAAGTTTCTGAGGATGAGAAAACTGTATCGCACTTTTCATCTCTTATCCAAACTAAAGGTCCTGAATTCAGGACATGTTTTATGCTCAAACTCTCTTCTGAGTTGTCTTTTTTTGTTCATGGTTATCAGCAATTGAGTGATCAGTGTAATGTTGCTGGCAAGATTATACTCCGGTTTCATTTGAAATGTCTCATCTTTTACCATGAGTCAGTGGTGTTGGGATTAATAATTCTTACAAATATATCATCTTTAGATAGACGCAAGGTATAAAAGAAAATACAAATCATGTTCAGGAAAATAGAAATCAATTTAGGTTTTATGAGAGGAGTGAAGAAGGTGCTGCTTCTACTACTACTACTTCGGTTTTAGAGGCATCATCGATGAGTAAATTGGAAATGCTGAGAGAGTTTGAAGCTAAAAGATATCTTCTTGGAGGAGAATATGTGGGAGGAAGAGGAGATTATCGGAAACGCCAGAGCTTGTATTATCAGAAACATGGCAGCATTCGTTAATGTTACCGTCCAAGGATATATTTTCTTTAATGCTTTATCCGTTAAAACATATTTGCAATGAAAAAAATAAAAAGGATTTAAAGGGATGAAGATGAATTAGATATATTGTTTTACATAAAAAAAATATTTGCTCTTGCTTTGTAATACTTCCTTATTACTTGAGTGACGTTGTGCACACAAGTCAAAAAAAAACATTTATTTTTTTTTAAAACAAAAAAAAATCTTTAAATATCTATAAAAATATAATTTAACCAATAAAAAATGTCAAATAAAAAAAGTTATCAAATGAAAAGTATAATAAATTTTATATTAAAATTTGAAATGTCATCTAATTTAAAACACAAAAGTTTCTTTAAAACATCATTTATTGAAAAAAAAAAAGGGAAGGGAGTGATTGTTTCCTAAATTTCCTTATATTGAGCAAAATTTAGCTGGTGGAAAATTCGGTGTAACTTACAAAAAAATACTCCATATTTAGAGATGGCAATTGGGTTCTCCTGTCCCATCTTATCCCGGATCGATGCGGATTCGTCTTCTAACGGGATGCAACGGGTCTGTCCCGCGCAGGATGCAGTTTTGAAAACAGCTGCCTAATCTTGTACCGTATTTTTTGTAGGCTTTCGCGGACTGTCCCGCGAGACATGTAATAATACGCGCAGAAAAATGATTCAGACCACTCAAAAACGCTCCAGACCATTCTAGGACATAGTTCAAATTGTCGATTCAACTGGACATAATTCATCAGTCATTACTTTACTTATTTTTTTTATTCAAAACAATAATTGTAATTATTTGTATCACACCCAAAACATATTAACATACTAAGTAAAAATAATTGCAGAAGATATTTTTCATTATCTTTTAACTCATAATTTCATAACCAATGTGTTTATTTTGCTGAATCCAAAAATTAAATTAAATGAAACACCAAATCAAAAATATCAATCCCAAATTAAATAAAAAGAGATACCAAATCAAAACACTACTTAAGCTCGAATCTTCATCGCCGGAGTTGTAGTCGTCATCATCGGAACTCGAATCATTATCACCGAAACTCGAATCATTATTATCGCCCGATCGACGTGTGTCTGGACAGCTTGTCCAATCTACATCCGTGTAAGCCGTAAGCAAGTTGAGCTGTAGACCTGGATCCAAAGTGCTTTGGAGATACCGTAGAACCCGTTTTAGAGCATGAAGATGAGTTAGGTAACAAAAAATAAAATTAAAAATTCCGGGTCCTTATAATTTAGTGGGATCTGTTTTGGCCCATCTCGCAAAGATTTATCCTACGAGATCCGCAAATTTGTGAGTTTAGAAAACCTCGTATCAATACCGTCCCGTGATAATTTTTTACGGGTTAAATCTACGGTCTAGATCCATGATTACCATCTCTATCCATATTTATGTATTTTTAATAAGTCCACATATGTACAATCATGTAACTACTAAATAGAAAAGGTCAAACGAAAGGATCATGAGCAAATCAGAGCTCGTTTTTTCTTATAGAATACAGGCAGTCGTGTTAACAATATCATAATGATTGGGAAATAAATTAATGTTTTATGTTGTCTACAAAAAACATGTTTCTCGCAAGGGGAGTCACGTTCATCGAGTTCAAAATCCTTCCAATAATCAAGCAACTCTAAAGCAATTATATTACCACTGACCGATTATAATCAAGGGAAAATTGGAAAAAAGAGATACTTTGAACTAAAATTTGGGCAAATAGGATTTGTAGAGCATTTTTAATCAAATAGGATTTTGAACCTTTTAATACCATAATACCCCTAAAATTTAGAAACTTTAAAAATAGATATATATATATATATATATATGTATTTTCGTAAATGATTTAATAACATAAAAGGAAAATTAAAAAAAAAATAAAGGGTAAAATCCTTTTGCCCAATTTCCCAAAACAATCGTGTCTCTTTTACTCTCTTCTCCGCGGAGCCCCTTCTATGGCGATTTAGGGTTCATCGTCGAAGTTTCTCTCCTCCGTTGGTCCTCGTCGGAGATTTCGTCGGAGATAGAGCCTTAGTCGAAGCCTTCTCTCTTTCTCTTCATCCTCTTCTTTGTTCTCAAGGAAATCGAACACAAGAACCCGTTGCGTATTTCCTCTAGTTTCACCGGAGTCTAAATCGAAGTCTTCTTCCTTCAATTCCAGCAGCTTTGTGACGTTTAAACATCAAAGTAAGTGATTCGAGTTCTAACCCTAGATAATCCTAAAAACTCAATTTCTCATCTTTCTTAAACCTAAATTAGTTGTTTGGGTTCCTTAATCATCTAATTAACAAAATCGAGCATTGCGTGTTATCGAATTGATTTTTATGTTTATGAGTATTGATTTAGTTTTTGTTTGAATGGATTAGAGCTCGGGTCTTGCAATACTTTAGTAGTTGGTGTCGTAAGTTTTGTTTAGGGATTAGGATGTAGCTTGTGAATTGTGAGAGATTGATTTTGTTGTAATGTGAAATCATAGAAATGTAATATGTACTAAATCAGGTAGAACATGTCTTCTAAAATACACATATGTTATAAATAGAATGTAAGTTTATGTTCTTTCTTTGTTTGTGTTCTCATCATAAACTTTTGTCTGCACTTGCAGGTATGTCAGAGGAGTTACCAAAGCGGCTTTTTAAGGAGGATGAGGAGACCCAAGTGACTCAGATCAATAACAACTGCAGGTTGGAGTACATCATGATAATGCTGAAGGAGTGGCTGCCAAAGGAGTTTGAGGTCGTGAAGAAATATCGGGTTTTCGCTCAGATTTTTAAGCTGCACGAGAATGGTTTGGGGTATTCTCCGAGGTGATACACATCTTCTTGTGTAGGGAGCTGTTGACCTACCGAATGAAGGATCTTTGGTTTACCTTTGCCAGGAGGCCACTCAGATTCTCACTGATAGAGTTCCACGCAGTAATGGGACTTGAGTGCAAAACCAGTATCTAAATGAAGGAGTTTGATGACTATAAAGATGATGGTGGTTTCTGGAGCAAAGTGCTGAAGAAAAAAAAGGGAATTTATTTTGCTTGTTTATTGTATGATTTTGCAACTTTGTTTGTGTTAGTGTCATTTATGTATTGTCATGAACTATCTTGTGTTTGATATTGTCTTCTTTTGGGTTTGTTTGTAAGTGTGCTTTGTTTGTAAATTTGTAAACTTATAACTTATCTAATTTATGCTTTTGTGCTTATGTTTGTGAACTTATAAATTATCTAATTGATGCTTTTGTGTTTATGTTTGTGAACTTATAACTTACTTAATTGATCATTTTGTATTTAGAATGAGCAGGATGCCATTTTGAGTGAGAGAGTAGATATTGACTTCGATGCAGAGATAGGTAACCAAGGCGTGAAGAACTTTGTCAGGCATCATTTGTGCCCGGATTTGATCCATCGCAGACCAATAGGGAAGACGGGACACGTGATTTTTGGACTCCATTGACTTCACTTCGACCTCCAGTAACTGTGGCAAAGGAAAGAAGTTCAGCTCCACCGCCTACAAGGTGGGAGAAGTGGTACAAAGGAGGAGTTAAAACACTTCAGCTCAGTGATTCACCACTTCCTCAAGATGGTTCTCCGGAGTCCCCGTTGTATTATGTTGCAGATAACACATGGACCAGATTCAGTGAATGGTCTATGAATCCAAAAATGTTACAGATTGGTCCTACAGCCTTCAACATGACTAATAGCTACACGGATTATTGCAGCTGGAAAATGGCTTGGAAATGAGGTATTCATTGTTGTTTTGTTGAGTGGTGTAATGGGATTTTGAAGATGTATTTGATTGATGTTCTTGTGTTGCTTTCAGGAAATGGATGTGTTTATGTATATGTGGCGAGAGAAGACATATCTGTGGCGTTGGAACGTAGACCGCATTGCTTTCATGACAGCTATGTTCTACCTCCAAATCGACACAACATATCGTAAGTTTACTCGTAACAAAAAAAAGTATCAGTTGCTCGATTTTCTTCTTGCTTACGGTAGAGGAGAGCTTCCAGCTTATGGGCGGACTAAAAAAACTTAGGGTGCTGATGTTGATAAACTATACTTCCCATTGTTTGTGAATGGTAAACACTTCCTCCTCATCATGTATCTATTTATGCCTCTCATTTTTAACAACTTTATCAATGTCCTATGTAGGCAACCATTGGATTACAGTGTGCGTGAACATCATTGAGAAAAGAGTGGATGATTATGATTGCTTTTAGGGAAAGAATAGGAAACACGTTAAGAAGTTTGCTTGGATGATTCCACGCATAGTGAAAGTTGTTGCTCCTCCTGAAGAAAAGAAGCACCTTCTGCTTAGAGTTACCATCTACAGCTGTAACAACTAGTGGAGCTCCTTTGTATTTATTTTTCAGAAAAGTTCCATCAACAACAATCACCCTCTGCATTGTTCTGTGGTATCCTCTAACTGACTGCCCAAACGACAAAAAAAGATACAAGAATCTGCCATCTTCTTTTGTTTGATAGCCAATGTGCGTTCCAGGATTTGCTTCTTTCATCATATGCAAATATTTTGGTATTTTAGCATAACTTTCATCTGGTATACCTCTAGCAGCAGCAATGGCATACTCACGAGCTTCCCAAGCGTGCCAATAACTAATCTCGCAGCTATACTTCATTCTCATAAACTGGATAATCTGGTTTTCTCTTGGGCCATCATTGGCATCATCAAAGCGATGTTGTATCAGAGTGCCAATTGTTCTTGCTGAGGTTTTTCTTCCAAATTTGCTCTTCTTTGAAGGAGCACATGAATGATTTGTCACACTTATTGATCATGAAATATGTAGACCCATCCAAACATTCCGCACGCACAGTCCAGTTGCACTGCATATCCTTACAACATATATACCACCATTTTGTTGTGAATTTGACAACAATGTAATCGGAGTGTTTCTGCATAGCCCATATTTTCATCGTTGCCTTCAGAACAGCTTTGTTTCTGAAAATCTGATTCTTCTTCACGTAATCCGATCTCAAAATTCGGCCATCCTTTTCACAATGTCCATTGTTTTCTATCCCAAAACTAAGTTCTGAAGAACCATACTCATCGGCATGATCCTTACTTTTCTTAGAAGCCTCCTTCGATGGTTTGACTAATTCAATTCGATTTATTTCATGAACTTTGTCATCTTGAACATTACTTTCATCACAAGACTCCTTATTTAAATCGATATTGACTCGTTCCTTTAGATTTACACCAACAGAGAACGTGACACACAAGGTGGTAGACGCACCCTTCTTCACATAGCACACAAAATTAGTCACTTGTCGATCATTGGTGATAATAAGGGGATGATTTCCTCTCTGGTTGACCATATCATAACTAAACTCGACAGTAACAACATTAGGGTCCACCCCAAAATCGTCACAGACCATAATCTTGAGCTGCTCCAATAGTGTACTTGTTTCTAATATTACCATTCGACCACCCCTTCCTTTCTCTACAACGAAACTCCACTGGTCACTCCAACTAGACGTCCATGAACCAGATTTAATATAGATTAGAACCATGTTCTTTTGAAAGAGAGAATAGATTTCTTGTTGATGAAGAAAAGATTGGAACCGAGAATGGTGAAAGAAGGATCGTGTGGGAGGAGGAGAAGAACGTGGGAGACGATACTTGTGAGATATTAAGAGAGATTTAGGGAATATTTACACAAAGATTTAGTGTAGATTTAGGTCACAAAATAACCGAAAATGGAAACTGCCTTGTATTTTTTTCTGACCAGGCTATGATATGGGTCATACGCTGTGCAGAATAATGTGGAGTGGGTAGGAAGTATATCCTTCTTTATTCGTAACATAAGCTAAAAGGTAGAACAGGTTATGACACACAAATAATTAAAGGTATATCATAGAGTGGTGAGTATAAATTGAAATCAAACTCGAGGTGTTTTAATGACATTTAGCTAGACTATAGCCAACCGTATTATAACTTGGTTAGAATTTACAAGGAAGTTTTTTTGTTTGCGTTATATGCCTCGGTTAGTTCTACGTGTAATACTTTGAATCCGAACTATATACTAAGTAGATGGCCAGAATATGTATTCTGTTCGGAGCTAGAACATAAAATAAAACATGTTTTTACACTTTAAAAAAAAAAAATTTAAACATAAATACTTATCTTTGTGTTTACTATAGTTTGGATATTTTTCTATATTTTTAAAAGTTCATTTACTATTTTTTTTACTACACAAGGGAAAAATCTGTCCAAAAAATACTAAAAGTATGAGAAATACTAGAATGACAAATAAATGTTCAAAGTGTCTCATTTTTCCAATTCACCCTATAATCAAGGTGGAACTACACAACATCCGGAATAAATAATTCTGTAGCGATTACATTATAGTATGAATTAGATACCAACATAATAATTAACGTTATTTCGCTTAGTTGTCTAAGTCATTAACGTGTCTCTCGAGAGCTCTTGTTCCGACCACGTCAAGATACCGGTCCAAAACCATGAATAAAGAAGAATTATATCATCAAAATCTCCTTCTTGAAAGAAAACAAGTATCAATATTATTAATTTAACAAACGACATAATCGTTACACAAAACCACCACCCACACACACACCATAAGCCAAATGCATGCAAATAAAAACATAATATAAAAAAATCTTTTTTTATTTTATTTTAACGTCGTCAAATCAAATATAAAGCATCATGATAACATCAATAGTGCAGAACATAACAACTATACTCAACAGTAGCGTCGACGCTCGTGAAATTAACCCACTTTGTACGAGCCTCAACGTAGCCTCTAGCAAAACGGAAAAGCCCACTTCCTCCGACGATTGGCATTTCTCTAACCTTTGACATCGCCGAGTTCCGACCAAGGATCGTGATCGTGCTTCCGTTGTATTTCCCTGTCTTAAAAACAAAATTCATCGCCATAATGAAACCCAACTCCTTTTGGGCCGCTCCGGCGTAAAACCCTTGTGCCTGGCCAAGTAACGTGGAGTTCCTCGAAACTTTCGCTGTCAAGGCATTGTCGATCATAGAGATTCCTCCAAAGTAGGTAGTAGAGTTCTTAACTGGTGCATGGATTATGATGGACGTTGGGTTTGGACCGCTTACCATGTCGTGCCAATAGACTTTGTAATGGGTTAGCTTCTCTTTCTTGTGAAGACCGGAAAGTTTCCGGTCTATGGTTCGTGCAAAGTTTTCTCCATCATCTCCAGTGGAAGAAACGACGGATATGAGGAGGATTTTGAAAGCGGGGAAGAAAATGAGCTTTGCCATAAGTTTTTTTTTCTGTTATAGTATGGGTTGTTATACTGATGCATGGAACTAATTATTAGGGACAAAGTCCCACATTGGAAGTTGTAAGGGATTCTATGTAGTATATAAGATAGATGGGTCACTCTACTTATCACCAATTGGTTTTAAGTTGGAAGCCCATCTATCTTAATACGGTATCAGAGCCCATGATCCACGCTGTCCAACCCGATCCTCATCGATCCGTACCCAAAGTTGGCCCATCGATCCTTGCTCGAACATTCTGAGATTGATGCCAAAGAGCCATCATCTCGAGGGGACGTATTAGGGACAAAATCTCACATCAGGAGTTGGAAGGGATTCTATATAGTATATAAGATAGATGGGCTACTCCACTTATCACTAATTGGTTTTAAGTTGGAAGCCATCTACCTTAAAATTAATGAGGTGTGTGATGTTAAAGAACATTGATTAGGGAATGTGTCAATGTGATAAATTTTGTTTATTTAATTTAACTAAGTGGAGGAGCTGGTTGATGTGTAATTCATGTGTGATACGTGCGTAATAATACTTTTGTATCTACTACCATAATCGTCGCGTTTGTTCCCTCTCCGGCTCTCCCTCTGTTCATTTAGAAAAAGTTTACGTTCCTTGCCTTTTTTCGAACGTTCCCTATTTTGTATAGATAACGTATTTTTAGTGCCATTCTTAGACTATTTTATTTCGGCCAAATTACCATACGTAATTTGAATATAAACAAATTAAACTATTTATTAGCGAGAGATAGTTAATCATCTAACTGTCGTGGTTTACCTAACAGCAATTGTATAACTGGTGCATCGGTCGAGAAAACATTACCCGAGAATGGAATCGGACAAATTGAGATATCCCGAGTTTCTTGTGTCATATTTCATTTGAAAATACATACACATGTAACGTGCAACATGTATACGGTGTAAGTTTTTTTATCTGTGATCAAGAAGATTCAAGTTCTGTTGTTTCTTAATGTTGAGAGTGCATCTTTGATCTTGGATGATGTTACTTTTAAGTTTCCTAGACATTGCTTTTTCTCGATAGTTTTAGTCTGATAGATTTATATTAGCTTACTTAATTGTTATCTGCATTTTGTCAATCAATTTGTGAATCTCCATGATTTGATGTTTTTTTTTTAAGATGAAACTTTTAATTTATTATTTGATGTTTTTTTTGTTTTACTAAGAATCAGTTCTTAAATAAAAATTTTAAGAATTTATTTTTTACTTTTTTTTTAATTAAAATTACAAAATAGTTATTATATTACGCTAATAACTGTTAAGAATCATGTAATAAACATGGTCTTATGAATTGATTCGATTTGATGAATAAGCAACACGTGTTTTAGCTCACATCTTACGTTATGCATGAAAAGACACGTGGTCTGCAGGCAGACTTCACCGTTTGGCGAGAAACTAAACCTGAAACACAATCACACTAGAGAAAAAATAAAATAAAATTTATTTACCAAATAACAAAAAAAGACAAAAGGAAAATATATTTTGGGAGAGAATAGAGAGAGATAGGAAGAAAAACTAAGAGAACAGAGGGAAATTTTAGTTTTTTTTTTTTTTGGGCAACATAATTTTATAGATAAATGGCCTCAGGCCCAAGATGTTAAGGAATGAGATAGGCAGGCCTTTGACAAGTTATCAGCCAGCCTATTTCTTTCCCTGGGGACAAAGGAAAAACAACAGAAGACAAAAGACGAAGCTAGAGATTCGATGTCCGATAGAACTCCGTAGAGTTTCATCGGCTTGATAACCGAATTTATCGCGTTGATCAGCGATAGAGAGTCTGAAAGAATACAGATTTTGGTGATGCCAAGATATTGAGCATGCGAGAGGGCTTCCCGAATCGCTAACCCCTCTGCCATGGTCGCCGATGATACAAAACGCTTGTACTTGCATCCGTCGGAGACCACCAGAGGTGCCGGGAGAGAAGAAGAGTCGAAGATCCAGGCTAGTCCCGCCTCTAGGGATTCCTTTTTCCATGCAGCATCAGTGTTACAAAACATTGCATCGGATGGAATCGATTGGGGGCTAGATGGGATCCGAGTATTTTGAGATCGAACCACTTGGGGCTCCTGTGCAGTTGACCATTCTCTAGCATCAACCAAGGATTTAGTGGCTGTACCTGTGGCAGATGCGGGTCGTGCTTCAAACAACAATCTGTTTCTGGTGGTCCATAAATTCCAGCAAACCCAAGAGAAGAGATCTCCAAGAATTCCACATGGTGGTAGAGAAATCGAAGGGGTTGTAACATTAACAGCATCGACAAAAGTTTGAAAGCTCTCTGGTCTGAATTCCGAGATAAGCGGTGTCAGGCTCCAAACCGTCTTAGCAAAGGAACAGTGGAGGAAGATATGCTCTATCGTTTCGGGCAGACCACAATGGATACATGAAGTGTTCTGTAGCATTCCTCTTCTACGGAGGTTGTCTCCTGTTGGTAGAGCTCCCTGGATTGCCTTCCAGAGGAAGAGATGTAATTTTGGTGCAGTAGAGATGGACCAGATTGACTTGAACCAATTAAAGGAGTCTGGAAATGTATTTGGGGTACTAATCTGATCCTTATCTTGTTGTGCAATAGCCGAAGCATAACCTGATCTTGTAGAGTAGACACCTGAGCTTGTTGGATACCAGATGTATGAGTCTTTGATTCCTGTTTTGCTTGGTTCAATAGTAAGTATTTGCTCTACAAACTCTGGCAGGATTTCCTTGATTTTCTCAACGTTCCAGTCACGGGAGCCGCTGTTAATAAGGTCGGAAACGTATAAGTCGCAGTCATCTTGCTTGAGAGGTCCAAAGGGGACAATGCGTGATGAGGTTGATATCCACGCCTCCTCCCAAACCCTGACTTCCGTTCCCTCACCAATCGCTCTGCCAAGTTGATTAAGGAGTAAGTCTCTTCCTGCAAGAATACCTGACCACCCGTGGGATGCTGCTTTAGAAGGTTGCACTTTGAGCAGGGAAGCCTTATGACAATATTTCCCTAGTAGAACTCGCGACAATAAGCAGTTTGGGTTAGTGAGCATACGCCATGGGATCTTTGCAAGGAGAGCAATATTAAAGGTCTGTATATCTTTGAATCCTAAACCACCCATTCCTTTCGGTTTTGTGAGTTTGTCCCAAGCTAACCAACACATTTTCTTTTTTCCGGTATTTGAATCCCACCAAAACCGAGTGAGAGCTGACTGGATCAATCTGCAGAGACCTACCGGGAGTTGGAAGCAGGTCATGGCAAAGGATGGGATAGCAGACAGAACTGCTTTGAGCATGACCATCTTACCCGCTGCTGAGAGGCACTTAGTAGACCAGCTGATGGCTTTGAGCTTGATTTTATCCACAATGGAAGAGAAAAGATCTCTCTTTTTACGCCCAAAATGCTCAGGAAGCCCAAGGTATTTGCCCACTCCACCCTCCTTTGTGATTTCTAGAAATCCTTTGACTCTGTTTCTAACCGTAGAGGGTGTTTTTGCAGCGAAGGAGATGGAGGATTTATCAACATTGATTCGTTGGCCCGAAGCAGCCTCATAGAGGTTTAGGATTTGTTTCAGTGTAGAGCAGCTCCGTGTATCAGTAGGGATAAAAAACATGGTGTCATCCGCAAACAGTAAGTGATTAATACTCGGACTGTTTTTTGCGATTTTAACACCAGGGAGTCTACCATCATTTTGCGCTTTAGAGCATAATCCTGATAACACTTCACTGCATAAAATAAACAGGTAAGGTGAGAGAGGGTCTCCCTGCCTAATACCTCTCTGTGGAGTCACATTCCCAAGAACTGAGTCATTGATCAAAAAGGAATAAGAGACCGTTGTGACGCATTCCAATACCCAGGTAACAAACTTCTCGTGAAAGCCCAGTGTAGATAGGACACTTTTGATAAAACTCCATTCTAATCTGTCGTATGCTTTACTCATGTCAGATTTGATTGCCATGGAACACCTTTTTTTGGACTGTGTTGTCTTCAAATAGTGAAGGATCTCATGCGTAATAAGAACGTTATCAGAGATTGCCCTTCCAGGTATGAATGCAGACTGGTTTTCAGATATTGAGCACTGTAGGACAGGTTTCAGACGTAGGGAGAGCAATTTTGAGATCACTTTGTAGTACACATTACACAACGCGATAGGTCTGTAGTCAGAAACTAGTCTAGGGCTGGAGATCTTAGGAATCAGCCTGATATGTGTCTCATTTATAGTTTCCGGCATAGACCCGTTTCTAAAAAATCCTTGAATCTCACTAATTATTGGAGGCCCTGTTGTTTCCCAGTTCGTCTGGAAGAAGCTAGCTGAGAAACCATCCGGTCCCGGAGCCTTGTCCGGGTGGATGGAGAACAGTGCCATTTTAATCTCAGCTGCTGAAGGAGGCGCTATGAGGATATCATTTTGCGATGAAGAGATCTTTCCACTTAGTGCACTTTGAACTGTAGCCGTACAATCGCTGGCTGAAGTTGTGAAAATACTGGTGAAATACGAGGCAATAGTTGAGGCAATCTGTTCTTCCTCATATACCAGACCCCCCTCAGGGATTTCCATCACCGTGAGTCTATTGCGGGCACGTCAGCCTTTGGCGGAGGCATGGAAGTATCCAGTATTCCTATCACCCAAGGTAAGCCATAATTGTCTACTCCTTTGCTTCCAGAATTCTTCTTCAGCTTTATAAGCCTGGAGGAGAGCCAGATTCAAGGAGGAAATACTTGTATCATCCGCTAATGTCTTAGAAAGCTCAGAATCTAGTTCCAACTTTAACTTATCAATTTCTCTCTTGCTATTCAGGTACTGAGTCGTACTCCATTTGGAAATTGCTCTACGGCAATTGGAAATTCTTTGTGAGACATGCAAGTCCTTACCCGCACTCCAGACTTTATCAACCAGCTCCTTAACTTCACCATTGTTCCGAAGCCTTCGATCGTATCTGAATAGCTTTTGCGCTTGTAATTTAGTGGGATCAAAGATGGAAAGCAGCGGGCGGTGATCTGAGCCTTCGAACAAGAGGTAATGACATTTCGCAGTTGGGAATAAATCTGACCAGTCACTATTAACCAAAGTTCTGTCCAACCTGCAGTGCACTACATAAGTTCCTGTCACATGAGATCCTCTTGTTCCTCTCCAAGATAGAAAGTTGCCCGTATGTTGTAGATCGAAAAGATCACAGTTAGCCATAAAACTTCTAAAAGGAAAGAAGGTGCTTTCAGCTCTCTCTTTGCCCCCTGATTTTTCCGAATTGTTGATGATTTCATTAAAATCACCTGTCAGGTACCAAGCTCCAGTACGATTAGAAGAGAGATTGCTCAAGTCCTCCCATACAGCTCGCCGGTTAGCAACCTCAGGTGCCCCATAAACAAAGGTACTGAAAAATTCAGACTCCTTATATTTGATGGTGGTGTCAATGAAGTTATGGGAGGAAGACATGACTTGCACGTCGATGTGTTTTTTCCAGAGTAATGCAAGTCCTCCTCCTCCTTGGCCATGTGGGGTAACTAAAAAGTGGGAATCGTACTGTAGTTCCTTCAAATCTTTTAGCACAACATTGTCTTGATTCTTTGTCTCCATCAGGAACCAAATATCAGGGGAGCAACCTTGGGAGAACTCCTTTAAACGCTGGACTGTTTCAGGGTTGCCAATCCCACAACAGTTCCAGCTCATAATAGCTAAGGAAGAGGATTTTCGGGGGAATGAAAATCCTTCTTGTGGGAAATTTTAGTTAATTTATGGATTTGTGTTTTTTTAATATATATATATATATAGGGTGTAATTTTCCAAAAATATTTTGAACTAAAAAAAAAAAAAAAATTGCTCTTTTAAAAGTGCTTTTTCCAGAATTTTTTATACTTACAAATAAAGTTATTGTTAGAAAAATTACATTTCTATTAATTTGGTAAATTTTACAACAAAGAATATCACATTCGTGCATTTTCAACAAGTCCACATAGACATTAGAATCGAGAAGTTAAATTATAAATCTCAACTGAATTGGTTAGAATCATCCAACTCTGGATTAGAGAAAAGTAGCTTTAAAAAGTCAATGAGCAGATCTGCAATCATCATTATGAGCAAAATCATTATAAAAGATTACGAGCAAATCAGAGCTCTTTTAAAATAATAAAAATAGGGCGTGTTAGAATGATTTAGAGTAGTAACCTGATGCTTTATTCAGAAGACTTATGTTTTTCCAAGGCAAAGTCAATTCATCGAGTTAAAAGTCTTTCCAATAAGAAGGAACTATAAAACAAGTATATCATCACTAACCGACTAATAACAGCTGGATAGTTAACTGTGTAGTGATTAAATTATTTCTTTAATTAGATGAATTAGAGACCAACAAATTAACGTGATTGAAGTGTGCAGCATTATTTCTCATTTTCACTTAGTTGTCAAAGTCATTAGCGTGTCCTTTGAGTCCTTATACGGTTGTACCGAACGTCCGCACGTCGAGATGTCGGTCCAAAACCATGAATAAATAACATATAAATCATCAAAATGTGCTTGTTGTAAGAAAAAATTTATCAATATTATTAAACATAATCACTACAACAATTCCACAACACTTGTTACGCAAAAAAGAAAAAAAAAACACACACACACACACACCATTTCTGTCTGAAGGCAAAACAACGACATTCATCAATGTCTCAGTGAACTACTCATGTAGATCTTACAGAACAACAAACCATCTTTACAAAGATTGGACTGTCCGAACTTACAGAACAACGAACCATACTTAATCTTATAATTCATATTGTAAACAAGCTTCAACCACAATAGAAAACATAAGTAAATATTACATACAAATGCTATTTATATAGTCATTTTACCCTACGCAAAGCACGGTTATTACCTAGTTATCAATAACATAATCACTACAACAAATCCACAACACTTGCTAAGCAAACAAAAAAAAAACACACACACACACAATAAGCCAAATGCACATAATAACATATATATAAAAATCTTGTTTTATTATCACATCGTCCAATTAAATTTATAAGCACGACAAAAACATTAATAATGCAGAACATAACAGCTATACTCAACGGTAGCATCGCCGTTCTTGAGATTAAACCACTTTGTCCGAGCCTCGACGTAGCCTCTAGCAAATCTGAAAAGCCCACTTCCTCCAACGATCGGCATTTCTCTGACCTCCGAAAATGGGGTGTTCCGACCAAGAATCGTGATCGTGCTTCCGTTGTACTTCCCTGTCTTAAAAACAAAGTTCATCGCCATTAGAAAACCCAACTCCTTTTGGGCCGCTCCGGCGTAAAACCCTTGGGCTCTGCCAACTAACGTGGAGTTCAACGGAACTTTCGCCGTCAATGCGTTGTCCATCATATTGATTCCGCCAAAGTAGGAAGTAGAGTTTGTAACGGGTGGCTGGATCATGATGGCCGTTGGGTTTGGACCGCTTATGATGTCGTGCCAATAGACTTTAAAATGTGTTAGCTTCTCTTTCCTGTGGAGGCCGAGGAGTTTCCGGTCTATGGTTCTTGCAAAGTTTTCTCCATCATCTCCAGTGGAAGAAACGACGGAGAGAAGGAGGATTTGGAGGGACATGAAGAAAATGAGCTTAGCCATGAGTGTTTTTTTGTTTTGTTGGTAGTTAAATGATGCATGAAAATTAAGGAGATGTGTGGTGTTATTTATAAATGTTGATCGAGTTTAGACATCTTTCTAGAGGGAAATAAACAATCGTATATTATTTATTTATATATTTGTGGATTCGTTTTGACTTTACGGATTTGTTAACCAACATTGAACTAGAGAATGCGATAATTTTTATACAATTTTAAATAAGTGGTGTGTGATGCGCGTGATTAGTTTTATATCTACCATAATCGTTGCTTATATTACCTTTCCATTTGTTTATTTTAAAAAAGTTTCGTTCCTAACCTTTTCTGTATATAACGTATCTTTAGTGCCATTCTTAGACTTTTTTTGGCCAAATTATCAACCCTTCCAGGCTCTTCCATACGTAATTTGAATATAAACAAATTAAACTATTTATTAGCGAGAGATAGTTTAATCATTAACTTGTCACGGTTTGTGAATTTATTAGCCACCATCATCATTGCGTCATCGTGTCGTATATTTACGGTGTCATTCATAGATGAAACATAACGATTACCAACAAACACTTGATTAGAGGTTTATTACACATGTCTTACAACACACTGTAGTTTGCGATTGCCAGTCAGAGCATGTTTAATGAAAGTTGATTAGAGAGATGCTTAGGAGTAGAAGAGTGCTTAAGCACGTTCCACACTCTCTCTCTTCAAATTAAACATTCTTCTCCTCCTAAGCATCTCTCTAAGCAATATGCATTAAACATACTCTAAGATACAGTGATTTCTATTTCTACCGCAACATCAAGTTTTAGAAATACATCTTGCAACATCTGGAACTTCGATAAATAACTTGTCTTTATCACTGAACAAATAATTATTTCTCTCAATATTTTGTAATACACACATTCCTTGTATATAACTATATATTTATCAAATTTGTCAAAATCTCTTGGATTCAATTTTAAATTCACCCATATACAAAATAAAGATATCTACTTCACATTATTTTTTTATGTAAGCACATTTCCAGACAAAACTATAATTACTGCTTAATAGTACCAACTAAAAGTTTGTATACATTTTAGATTAGGTCCATAATCTTTTTGATACAAAAGTCCATAAATCTTTTATTTAATCAGACATACTATCAAAAAATTCTCGAAAGTCTGAATCACTTCTAAAGTCATGTATGTTATCACTTTATATTACTCTTTTTTTTTTGTCAGTCGGTGTCATCTAGACGTTATATTGTTTAGCTTTTGCTTTATTTTGTTGTGAACTATTGGCTTTTGCTTTATTTGCTCTCCCTTGTTTACTTCGAAAAGGTTTTCGTTCCATTCCTTTTTCTGTATTTAACGGAACTTTTGTGCCGTACCATAATACTGTATTTTGTCAAACTAACCCTTTCATACGTAATTTCATATTAACCAATTGAAGTATTTATCAGCGAAACACGGTCAATGGATTTGTCAAAGATTCGTAGTTTACCTACCAGCAACGTGGCAGTTTGTAACTTGCGAGTTGGTCGAGAAAAACGAAAATAAAATAGTCTGTTCCAAAAAAAAAAAAGTCGGAAAATAGAAAATACACACACATGAGACATGTATACAATACAGTGCAGAGTATATCATGATTTATAGGCATGCATGCCTGACTTTATCAGAAAGCTTATTAGGTCGTCTACACCATTCTGCCCGTCCACAAAACGGTAAAGCTTAAGATAGCCTTTCACTTTTTCTTTTCCTTTTTGGCCAAAAGTGTAGATAGTGTGTAGGTGGGGAACATGACATATTTCAACTTATACAATTTCGATCAGGCTTTTTGATACTAAAAAAAATAAAAAGTGCAATTTATATCCAAATTATACAAATATTTAAATTGCATATATATCCAGCTGTTAACTAACCACATATTAGTCAACTGTTAAAATCTGATGAATCAACATTTATGTGGCAAACGATGTGTTGATTGTTGTCTCAAAACATTTGTTTATTATTTCCGGCTAAAACAGTAAAAATAAATTTTATGTAAAAGCCGCAAAATTTATTTCTGTAAGAAAAACGTAAAACATAATTTTGGTAAAAAGTAACATTTTGTTTTCCACCAAAATTGAAAAATTAATTTTTATAATAAAATGAAATTTTTACCAAAATGTACAAAAAATATTTTTTTACTTAAATCGCAAAAATAAATTTTCCTACAAAAACGATAAAAAGTATTTGTCAACTCGCAAAAACATGAAGTATTCGTCAAAATGTAAAATTTTGTTTTCTGCCAAAAATAATGTCAAAATTGTAAAATTTTGTTTTCCATGAAACACGTAAATCAACTTTTGTCCAAACTGCAAAATAATGACATAAATATTGTTATTTTTGGAAACAGTAAAAAAAAAATTTCTGTTAAAACTAAAAACGAATTTTTGTGTAAAAGTACAAAATATTATTTTTTGTACCAAATCCGCAAAACTTATTTTTTTGTCAAAACCACAAAACAAAATCCACCAAAAAACGTAAAAAGAAAAAAAAAATTCTCCAAAATCACAAAATCTAGTTTGCTTAATAAATATTAAAATATTTATCTAAACTATAAACTAATATAAGTGAGATAATTCTGGCTTAACCTTTTTATTAAGATGAATAAAATAGGAACATGATCAGAACAAGGCTGAATTTATATCATATAGGATCGGCTGGCCAAGACTCTTCTTTCTAACATTCTTAATGCATAGCATAACTGACTTATGTTAGAGCATTAATATCGCTAGCCACCATTTAGGTTGCTTATTTTTTATTTTATTTTTAACTTTTTTCTTTAATTGAATTTATAAAAAAAAAAAAAAAAAAAAATTAAAACGGACCAATCTCGGGCCACCACGTGTCAGTGGGGCCCGCGTTTTTGGCAAACAACGTTGCTTACTGAAGCAACAGAAGCGGTGTGGTTACTGACTTTGCTGGGACCCATCATTTTTTTATTCCTTTTTTTTTGTTGAAACCAAGGGTAACAACCCTGGTTAATGCTGCTCTTAACTCTGATAGTATTTCCAGAGATGCATTAGAGTAGTAAAGGGTGCTTAATTTCTTTTTACTTTTTCTTTTATTTTGCTTTTCTTAATTAAAAAAATAACTAATCACAGGCCGCCACATGTCGTGGGGCATGCAGAACAAACCAAATACAAGGTAAACGCCAACATTGATATGGGCGGTGGTGCTTCCTTTTCTCATGGGACCCATTCAATTTTTTAATATTTTTAAAGCATTCTCTCTCTAAGCATCAGGGATAATACTGCTCTTATATGCCCAATAAATCTCCTAAAACAGGTTATTAGGAGATCTCGGGGACTACGAGATCGCCTAGAATATATTCGGCTGTAACTAATAGGAAAGTTATCATTAATGTATAAGTTAGATTTCCTATTCTATTATATAAAGAACTTGCTAAACAAGTTATGTATTTTGTATAAATAAGTCTATTGGCTAAATTAATAAGATGAGAGAAACTATTATACTATTTAGGTTTCCTCCAAACTTATCACATGTAGGAACCTTGTAGAGACGTCATGTATGATGTATCTTAGAAAAGTTTATGGCTCTGCTCCAGGGGCGTAGAGATATGCTAAAGCCAGGAAAAATCAGCTTCAGCAACTATGTCCAGTGCATACTTCCTCTAAGTCATAAACATTCCAAGTGGATCTCAGGTAGACCTTCTCCTCTATCCTGCAGGCTCTTTAGGGTATAGGAAGCACTTGTGTGTGCTTGTTACTTCATTGTACTTCTTAGCTAAGCCTAGTAAGGGAAGCTTTGATTTATGTCTGTTGTTATAGGTCCTTTTTACCCTTTAAGGGGATCATATGATCATATTAGCTATCTAGCAAATGGGATTCAAGTTTCACTTGTAATCAAACTTTCACTTGTAATTAAACTTTCATTACCATGTTAATGATATTTACATTTCTAGCAAAAAAAAAAAAAAACGTGTTTCAACTTTTTGAAGTCATCCACTTACATCTTAAGAGCATGTTTAATGGTGTTCCTTAGCATAGGTCTCTTAGCAAAAAAAATGATAAAGAAATTGGTGGGGTCCAGCATTTTAATAAGGAACGGGTGTTTGGGAGCTCCACCAAGGGACTTTTTGTGAGTTGTATACACTCTTTATTGCTTCCTCTTCTTTTTTCTTTTAATTTAAACAAAAAATTAAAAAGAAAATAAAATAAAATAATAAAAATTACCTATGTTTCCGTGTTTGCATTAAACATGGTCTAAAGCATTCACTTAAATATACCTTAACTTTCCAAATCATTATTAGAAATGACCAAGTCATCCATTTACACGAGAATCCACAGAGATTTGCCATATTTTTTGTAAGTAAACAACACGTAATCAGGTTGTTTATTTGTGAGTTCTTTCAGGTTGATGCCACCGTTCTACATTTGCAGAATCAGATAGTGGTCCAGCAATTTTAAACCAAGTTGAGACCAAGACCCAAGAGATTCATTTCAACTAAACATTTTATCTCTGTTAACCGGCTTTGGAACCAGGTCAGATATTACTTGGTCTCGATTTCATTTTTTTTCAGGTTGGTAGAACGACTAATTGCATCGTTTTAATGTTTAATTCAGAAGGTGGTTTGTGGTTAAATTTTGTGCATTTTGACGGTTTAGTTGGTAGATGATCTGGTCGTGCTTGGAGTTCGTGCTGGGGCCAATCAAGAGGCTCTATTATATTTGGACATTGCAGATAAAAAAATGAAGTATTCGTACTTATAGCCTTTTCTTGTTCTTTTAGTATGATAACAGATTATTAAGTTATATGTCTCTGACCAAAAAAAAAAAACTTATCAGTCTTAATTTTGTCTAGGTTCAGTTCCGGCATGCATGCACTGCTGACGAAACGTTTCTATGCAGACTTCTGCAAGTAGATTCCATCCAGTTGTCCATCATCAAAGAGAAGGACAATAATGATTGATGCTTTATATGAGGCACAACGAACATACTGAGACATTCAACAAATTAAT